ATCGATTATTTATTTCGTTTTTGGACACGGCGAACGCCCCCCGACACCGCGATTGGGGTTGAAGACGACAGGGGGACCGGAGGGCGGGGGCGGGGGGTGTGAGGTTATTCAACAAGCTTTCAGGCTCGGCCTGCCGTGACCGGGCCCGCGCCAGATTGGATTAAGTTACTGGCGGGACTTCGCCGGCTGATAATTCATACCCATTCCGACGCGTTGCCGCCTTTGACCGATTGTTCCAGTCACTACCCTCCCTTGCTTCCCCTCCGACACCCCGCCACGGCGGAAAAACGCCAATAAGGTCGGGGCGCCGAATGGGGTGTGGCAAATATGAGGTTACATTCCTGTGAACCCAAACGCTACTCTCAGCTGGATCTGCCACCTGACTTATCGCAAAATGAGCGATGGAGAATTTGTAAGGGTCTGAAATTTGATGAATTTCGTGTTCAAGTTGAATCTACTGAGTGAACTGAACACGGAGATACCCTTGATTCATAAATTGAGCAATTATTAGAGGAGATATGACAATATAACCGATTCTGCTAAAACACATGTGTTTAAATGGGAAATGCCGCCAGATGACGTCATAAGGCGGCACATTTTCTCACTTTTAAATCAATTTTTCTCCAATTTCCCATGTCAGAAAAAATAAAGAAAAATACTGCGAACTCAGATCATTAGGCACTTTCAGATGGAGCAATACAATCTTTGTGTGCAAATTCTCCCTTTAAATTGGTAGATCCTTATTTCATTCGATGTTCAACCTCAAACGTAACTCAGTTCTTGATAACAATTCATTGATGGCGCCTATACAAGATGTTACATAGGGATTTGATGTTAAACGCCAGACGAAATCGATAACCAACCAATAGGATGACCCCAATTGGGATATACGTTACGAGATCAGGCTGCTGAATCCTAAAAGACTGGTTTTGAGTACTTAAACTTAGTAGTTATAGTTTTACAATTAGAAAAATCGGGGAAATTTTCAGCGATATCCTAATTTTTCTTGGTTCCACAAAAAAAAAAAAAAAAAAAAAAAAAAAACCTGGATGGCATTTTTTGGCACTTCTCTGATGTACCCTGATTTGACCGGAAAAATCTCTGATTATGCATCCTAATATTCTGGTCCAGAATATTAGGATGGAAAAGCTAAGGGAAAGTTCTGGGAAAGCTTAGGGGAAAAACATGAAAGTCACGAAGTCATAAACAGACAACAACTTAGTCCTTCGAAACAGCTTGGACACTCCGAATCAGGGTCAAAGTTCCCTGATTTTTCACGGTTTTCTTTCACACTTAGAACCCGCAAGAACTGCTTTGAAGTTAATAGACTCGCTCAGCAAGCGGAGACTTCACCGATGTGATAGAGGATGGTATCGATGGACTATCGTAATGACTCCCGCGTGCTCCGGAAAAACACCGTATGAATGAACATATGTTGTCCCAGTCCTCTCGGTAAGATATTTTACTTCGAGAAAAGCTACAATCATTTTTCCTTGAAATTTTCCAGGACGGTAGTTTAAACTGCGCAGGTAATTCTCCGAATTTTCTAAGAGCCGATAAACCTGAGTTTTCAAGACATTGACATTTTGACAAAATAAATCTGGCGACGTTCGGAGGTTCATACGGTGTTTTTCTTGAGGACGAGGACGACAGAATCCTCGGTCGTGACTGGCGATCCCGTTTCGGTGGATCCTGGATCGTGGCAATTAGCGCAAGTTGCAAGTGACAACGGTGCTCTCTGCGAGCTTCGTGTCTTCCTAGCGGCACTTGATCCGCTGGTCACATTCTCCCGCTGGCTAGTCGCTGGTCACTGGACGCCATCATCGTCACCGATACTGATACCGATACCAATAAGGTAGGAGACGGACACCGATTGAATTGTCTCGTTGGAAAACGGCCCTACTCCGAAAATTCCAGAAATTAGTTTTATCCCCGAAAAATACTGTCCTCCTAATAAAAGCTCAGTCTATCAAGGTAAAGTATATATTTACCGTTGCCGTGAATCATTTTGTTTTGAATTTTTTCTCGGCCTTTCTGGAGGAACGAAGTTATACAAGAATAATAACAAATATTGAAAGATTAACGTGTGAAAAACGATGAAAGGCGATGAAAGGCGATGGGCCTCTAAGCGAGGTATGAATTAAAGCACTACGTAAAAAATATTCTGCTCAAAATCGTACGTAGAAAATGGTTAACACAACGGGAAGTCTGAAAATCAACTCCTGTCTAAGATGAAAGTTCTTGCAATCAACATTGGTTAAATGACAAAAATACAAATGAGGACATTTGTTTAATCTAACTTCCATTTGATCTGTGTAAAAAATAATCTTGTTAATATCTTGTACAGGATTTTATTTCCGGGCTTTCCGTTGTATGAAGCATTTTCCACGTAAGATTTTGAAATATAACATGTGCCGTTTCTTTCTAGTTTAGACCTTGTCTAGTAGTGGCCCATTAGGCGTGGTAGGTGTGCAGAAAGTTCTTCGGAGCAAAAATCAAATGCGATCTCACAATCAGCCTAAAATTCCTTCACTCTTGGAAAATGTGTTACCTGTGCAAAAATAGCACAAAATAATAAGTACGCGATTAAAAAGAAAATAATAAAAAATTGAACGCTCTTTACGTGTTTGATCCCTTCCTTTCTCGGAAAAAAAAGGAACCATCCCGTCGATAAGAACGCGAGAGTTGAAAAGAATTAAAGTTTTTGATCAAGATGCGAAACCCGATAAAAAGCCAGGATTTCATCACGTAACTTAATACGCGGTTCCGCAAGTGAGCACATTGGATCGCTGTTTCTCGAGCACTTGCGTTTTAACTCCTTTTTTAAGATTAAGATGATCAACCACGACCCAAGGTATACGATTTTTCGGTCCCCCTAAAACAAAAATTCCCTTTATTCTAAAGCAGAATTTCAAGAAAGAATTGGCAACCGTCGGACGGAGTCGTATACGGGTCGCGCGCGCCGGCCGCACCGGGTTACAAAGCGGAAAGAGTGCGTAAAACTGTTAAGTCAGTTCAGTTGAAGCGAGGTTGCCGCGTTGTCTTCACAAATGATGATTCACGCAGTTGTCCGGATACGAAAATAAATAATTATCCGCACGATCGGGCAACTTCGAAAACAATAATTACAGTGTTATCGCTCTTTATGCCGCGCCATAAATGAGTAGGCGTTGAGGGGGGTTTCTCGGGCGCGTGTCTTTCAATGGGAATTTCGGCTGGTGGGGTCGTTCACTCATCCATGCAATACCTCCATCTTATTTCTTTGGGCCACTTATACTGCAGTCGTGGAGAAAACTAAGATCACCAATGTAGCTCAAAGAGGCTCCCTTCATTGGAACATTACACTCTTTATTTTGGGAAAGGATGCGAAGAGTAAACGAAGAAATTACGACCGACAGTACAACCAATCGCCAACTAATTCAACAAGCTGAGCTTTCCACTACAAAGTGGCTCTCTCAATTGCGACAATGGCCTTCACTCAACCCACCAACACCTAGGGTCAAAATGACCATTGAAGGTGTGTCAAGGTTCATGATCTATTCTTCCCTCTTCCTACAGGACTCATTTGTGGGCTTACATCAGAATTTTGACTCATTTTTCTAGTTGCACAACAATCAAAGTTAAAAGTATGAGAGATATTTCTCCACAACCGGAAAAAGGGTAAGGGGAAAGATTATTGATGAAAGAGCAGAGAGGAGACAGAAAGCTTAGTTTCGCATTTAAATTATGTACTGGAAATATCAAACGAATACTACAGGACTTTATTTCAGAAATTCATAGCCACTTGACAACTTTCTTTTATGAGTATCCGAAGTTAGAGAACGATAGAAAACACAGCTTCTGCAGTCCAATTCAGCCATACAGAGAGATCAGAAAAAAGAAAATATCCTTGAAAACTGAAAAACTTGACACCTCTTTACAAAAGTCTCTCAAGGCAAAGTACATTTACACCTTACAGGGAGAACCCTACACTCAGTAAAATGTCTTGTTGAACTGTTAGAAAAGTCTGCATTATACCTCATTAAAAGGCACCCACAAGATGCAGACAGAGATAACCATGAGGAATGCGATTGCTCAAAGCTCTTTAGAGTTGAAACAACTTTCTGACATAGCATGTCTGCAAACCGTTTCCAAGGATTTATTAGTTTTGCAAAGATAGCAAACAATCTTCCAACTAAATGTGGGTCAGTGAGTAAGCTAAATTCCAAAGTCAGAGCAAAGGAATGCGTTCAGCTGATTACATGTTACAACTTCACACTTGCTGGATCACTTTTCCATTGATTGTCTGCAGACAATTTTTCAAGGAGATGGGTTTGATGCTCATTCATGTTTACGTTTCAGCAGGAGAATTTGTTTAGGTTTATAAAAAAGTTCACATCAGTTGATAAACCAGAAGCGATGGGATTTTAAATATTGAGCCAGTGTTTTCAAAGATGTTCAGGAACATAGATACCTAGAAGCCATGATTTCACACTGAGTTAGGGATTTAGGGTCTTCGAAGATTCCAAATTTTTACATGCCTGCCCACCGGTTTTCGACAAAATTGTCCACCAATTTCCAAAGCTGTGACTTTTTTTCTTTTTTCCTTCTCCACACATGAAAATTTGCTCTTCTTCCATATTTTCATGCCGAGGCCTATGATCAAGCACTTCCAGCATTCCAGCATCGAATAGCAGCTTGATTCTGAAGTATTTGACTTTCTATTGCAGTTCATAAGTCAAATCTTTTATTATCCTTCTTTCTATTTTTCAGAAGTTTCTTTATAGAGGAAAAATTAAAACTGAAGAGCTTTTAAAATTCATCACAGGTCAAGCATGGAATGTTGACCCTCAAAAAGCGGTTGGGTGGGAGCACTGATTGATTAGATGTGTGAACTTGCAGCATTATTAGTGAACAGTGATGTTGGTCTTACTGATTTTGTGCGAGGTAAAACCTTTCTTTTCGTCATGCAGTTAAAAAAAGAAACAAATAAATATTCGTACTTCATATGTTCAACTTACCTGGTAGAAGCAAGAGACCAGCAGCATCAATAGTTCTTGTTCCGCCGGGTATGATCAGATTTCGTCCCAGTTGCCTGAAAAAAGAGGGAAAGCAAAATTTCAGGAAATCATTCTTTTTTTAAAGTTATAGCTTTAGGTATACAATGGAGAATTTGCACACAAAAATTTTATTGCTTCATCAGAGAGTGCGTTATGAGGTGAGTTTGTAGTATTTTTTATAATTTTTTTCTGACATGGGAAATTGTAGAAAAGTAGATTTAAAAGTGAGAAAATTTGCCACATTGTGACATCATTTGGCAGCATTTTCCATCCAAACACATGTATTTTAGCAGATTAGGTTATTTTGTCATATTTTCTCAAATAATTGTCCAATTTAAAAATCAAGGATATCCTCGTACTCAGTTTTCCTAGCGGTACCATTTGAAAGATGAAATTTACAAGAGAGACATGGTAAAAACTAAAATTCGCTGGAACTTTACAACTGCCCACGCAGAAGTGTTTATTAAGGAATTAAACAGCCATGCTAAGGAAGAACGCTGTATTAGCCTTTTAATGTTGCCGAATTTCCTTTCGTAAAATACACTTTTTCATGGAAATCTGTCCAAATGTTTCCTCTGATTTGGAAAAAAAAATGTTGGCTCATAATTGGATCTAAATTACCTGTCAATTTCAAGAGAAAATATTTGAGACTCTCCTTAAAAATATAAATTTTATGGGAGGAGATTTGGCAACTTCGAATTTGCATACATCGTTTTTTCTTGGTACGACAGTACTTACAGTAAATCAATGCTATCAAAAAGGCAACTTCTCTGGCCTTTTCATTTCAATATATCAGCCTTTTTCCAGAGGTCTTTGTTGTCTTAATCGTTTTCCTTTTTACTGTGTAATTTTAACTTACTTTATGACTCCTTCTTCTATATATAAATCAGCATCTGCCATTCCATCAGCATTGACGACTTTACCATTTTTGATCAGAAGCCGATTATGAGAGCTCTGAAATCAAGATTGAAAACATTGTAAGATGGGATTTCAAAAGGAAATTTCCCTAGACAAAAATAAACTTCTGCAGCTAAAAATAAATATTCCTCACTATTAAAACAAACATTCCTCATAAAATATGACAGCAAGTTGTCTGTTTTAAAGGTGCTTCTTTTATTGATAATAATCATTCTTTTATGGCAGGCATTTGGTATCCAAGCTTTCTTTCTGGTTGAGGAAACAATTTTGACACGAATTAATTACCCTGTAGTGGACAAAAGTAGACAACATTCAGTCATGTTGACCTGTTAAGGAGAAACGCTTTAGATTTTCTTTTCTGTTCTTCATTTGTAGCATATGAGAAATCTGATTCTTGACTGTCCATGAATATTAAATTTCAGAGAATATTTTTTACAAGGCACTGAGACATTGAAGAAATATCACAACAAAGTCTTCAGAGACTTCCCCCACACATTCTCGAGACAATTTTGAAAATTTTTTGAGGAAAAGTTTTTGTGGCTGAACTCCATAATAAGATTTTACACCAAATAATAAAAATAAAGTAAGATCTAAAGTTGCGACTAAGCTGTCACTACCACGCATACAAAACAAATTTCAAATCTGAAGTACATTAATTCATTCAAAACAGGGAAGCTTCAAATGAAGTCTTCTGAGACTACTTGTATTTTTTACAAAAAATTTCATAAAGCTTCATACCTGCAGATGAATAGGGACTTTCTTGACAGGAGCTGTAGCTGCCATGTTGGAGGCTTCTAAATTCACCTTTTCTGTAAACAAAAAAAAACAAACAAATTTGGTCAGACAGAGTTTTTTGGAATATCAAGGAGATGTGTATACACCAAAAATAAGGTGGAACGTTTGATATTCATCAGCTGACATTTCAGAGTCTCTTTCATTTAAGTGTTTGATAAATGCTATAAATGCTCCCCCTAGACTGCCCTCCCCCCCCTCAAAAAAAAAGGGTGAAAATAAAAAACAAATAATCTGACATATTTGGAAGGATGGAGAAAATGGAAAATTGACAAATTTGATCAACTAATTTCTGGGCAAAAAAGGTGGACATCAACATATTTTGCTACAGCTCATCCATCTTCCCCTTAAAAATTGAGACGATGCAGAAAATTCTCCCTGTTAGCAAAAAAAAGTGCAATTGCTGCAAACACTGTTTCTTGAGCAAAATTTGGATGGTACGAGAAGTTACTTATGTATGCATTTTTGCATCATACAAACGTCATCATTTTCTCAGATATCCAAGTGGAGATGTACTACTGAATTGTATAGAATTGATTAGTCTTATCAATTGCTCAGATAAGATGCACAATTTGCTAAAAAGAAATTTAAAAAGTAGGACAACATAGGCACTTGAGAGACTGCAATTAGATAGTTACACTTCGAATCAGAATAGATACTTTGTCAAGGATGTAATATTTGCGATGATAGTGTAAACAAAATCATCAAGTTAGTATCAGAGCCTTGTTTACTTAGGGCAGTTGAAATTTTCGCCATAGGGTGGGAGGGTGTGAAAAATTTCTTAAGAATTTTCATAACAGAGCATACTTAAATATTGCATTCTAATATGTTTGGTTTGAAAAATTTCAAGCAAAACCAAGGACAAATTTTAATAAAAAGCCCTTCCAGTTGCAGGAAAATGCGCCTTCCCAGCTATATACTTTGTAGGACGCATAGCTTTGTGTAGCAATATATTTTTATAGTGGACATTTTAAAATATTTAGCATGTCCAAAGGGATGGATATGGATGAAGAGGACAGCTTCCAGTAAATGTGGATTGTTTCCTAGCAGAGAACTCAGTTTTGTGGTGGGAGGAGTAATCATGGGAGATCAGGTCTGTTGAACCCCTCGATGAGCACAATTAATATTCAACTTCCTCTTTGAACTTGATTGATACAACGCAGTGAGCTTGCTTTAACTCTTCGTGACAGAGGTAGGTACTTCACGCTGATCAATATGGTTATTAAACTTTGAGCGATAGAGGATTCACAGTAAAAGAATGAAAAACTACCAAATATGAAAATAAATGGTAGAAATGAAAATGATAGTGCAAGAAAGCATCATGCAACATCGATGATTGTCTGCAAGGAAAATTGTTAACTCCAGCCCAGGAGGAAATCCATGATTCAGTTTTGACCATCTGAGTATGTTGTAAACATTGCTTTCTTACTATCTTAGCATCTACTTTGTTTTGTCATATAACATCGAAATAACCAACCATTTGCTGCTGTTGTATCGTATCAATTAAAACTAAGTTAAGGCCATCACTTCCTTTCAAGTAAATATATAGATCCTAAACAAAAAAATTCCCATGGGCAGCTCAAATAATCATACTACGATAGAGATAAAGTCCTTTCAATTTCTGAATTTTGAAGATAAGCGGTTCAGCTATCGAAGCCAAGACTCAGGGAGCTGAATGGTGCGATTATTGGAGATCTCACATCTTCATGATTGCACCAAAGTTAATGCTAAAACTACATACATGTGAGACGATGGCACTTTGCCAATAGGAAACAGCGGTTCATTGGCGTCTGAGGGGTTGATGACTGCCGCAATAATTAGTGCGTGCAGTCTCGAAGGATTACCAGGGTGAGTATGACAGCAAAGGAGCACTACCTTCAGAAACTTAACTTGACGTAAAAGATAAAGCTGTTACTGGATGATAGGCAAAGAAGGCATGTGTAATTTGAGTGTCTGATGCCCAACAGTTGGTTATTAATAGGACTTGGGAAGGGCAAAATGAAGACTAGCACTGTCTGAACAATTCTGATAAATATGGAATAGAGCTGAGAAATGAATGGAGCAGGAATGAAATTCTAGGGATACCAAGTAAAAAGTAAGATGAACTTACACACAAATAAAATTTCCGTTGCAAAATACGGCGAGATTGCAGACGCGACGCGATGAGCACTTATCAAAAAAAAACGAATTCACCGACACGTTCGCAGAAATAGAATAAAAAAATGGTAGCCCGTAAATAAAATAATTCCTGAGATTAGAGGATGCTGGAGTAGATAGTATTCTCAGTGATGCCGTAAACACCGACAAGGGCACAAATCCTGATCAATTCACAACTACAGCTCAATACGAAAAAGCGTGTACGAAAATTGTAAATTAAATTCGATTCGATTTCGTCTGACTCTGATGCTCACGCTCTCCCGATCGACAAATCCACAAATTTCTCCTCCCACTCCTCACACTGGCGCCACAAATCGTTGAATCTGATTACCAACATAATCCAATTCCACCCATAATTATACTAGGATTCAGGAGGAAGAAGTTGACAGACTGAAACACCTATACTCTCGATTTAGGATTCGTGCAAGTTAATTTTGCTCGTAAATTAAGGAAATAGTTCATATTAAAATTTTCTAATGGACCTACGTGACTTGAACTCGTTAATTAGACTTTCCTGCCGAAACTACAAATAGTGAGATTTTTTCTGAGAGCGTTGGTGAAATGTCATGGCTCTCTGATGGAGGGAGTAAACCCCGCGAAATACAAACATTATCCTTTTTTCCCCTCTTTACTCCCAACAAATATTTCCACCAAAGCTTTAAGTATGAATGAAATTATTTTTAATGATTTCATCATAGATATCATACCTTAAGAAACCAAAAGTTATGTTTCAAAAGTTATGGTTTAGTGGGAAGATTTTTTCCCATACGAGGGTGGGTGCCTGGTGCCTGTTACACAGCTTCACTCTATGAGTGGAGGGAAAATTTTTTGATAAAAATTACAAGGAGCTGTAGCGACCCCGTCAAGCCTGCTGAGATCTCCAACCGGGAATGGGAGCCGCTACTGTATCTTACACGGACTCGTTCAACTTTTGCGTCATGTTACTTACACGTATAATGGACCACTTTTTTTTCTATGAAAAAGTATTCTCTTCCCTACACTCTTATAAGTTAGCAGAGGAACTATTCCATTTTCATCTCATTTTTCAATTTATAGAGAGAATTCGAAGATTTTCAGTTCTGGCTCTGCAATTAGCTAAATATGAGGACATATTATCACGGGATTGTCCAGTTGTTCAAGGCTGATTCAAAATTTCGCTTTCTGGTATAGAAGTAGAAGAATGTACATCAAATTTTTCGGAGACCTTCTGATCGATCAGATTGGCTTTAATCAGGACCAATGACTAATGAAGATTTTGTTGGCATTTCTGTCTATTTTTTTTTTTTTTTTTTCCATAAATGCGAGTTCTTCAGGAATTTTTGGTTATTTGAGTTCCTCGGCCATCTCATTAATACGTTTTTCATTGACTCTTGAAAGCTTTCTCACAGCTAACAATTGGATAAGGAGGGGTCATTACAATAATGAGAAAAAAACATTATAATTTTTTGTAAAAAAATGTCATATGTTTATTTTAAATAATGTACACAAATATAGTTGTAAATTATTCACTTTAAATGCAATATTATAAAAAATTACAAGTCGCTTACTCCGCTGAAGAAGTAAATTTACAAACACGAGTGCACATTAACTCTTAAAATTCAGGAATTTTGATCTTAGAGTCTATTTACACAGAAACAACAAGACTTGGCAGAGAACAATTAAAAAATTCATTGCACTGAGGGATGGAAACGAAGACAAGAGAGAATATGCAAGGGTGGAAGATTTTTCAAAGCAGAGAACATAGGAGATTCTGGTGAGAATACCGGTTACAGAAGATAGTCGCTACGAATAGCTCAAACTCAAGAGAACACACTGGAGCTTCAGAATAGGTGGGAGGTAACAAGAAATATTTTTAAAAATGATCACTACTACTTAACAGATCAAAGAGGAATTTACTTTGCTTATGTGTCAAAAAGAGGTAAAGGATGATTCGCATTTAAGGATGGCGTGCTCCAAGGAAAGTCAAGTGACTTCAAAATTCTACAAGGGTAGTCAGCAGAAAAATGGATTTTCATAGATAAGATAAAAAATTATGAAAGAAAAAATGAAAACAGCAACCTTTACATTGCTACTTGAAACGTCTTAAATATTATGTTTCAGCAGTTGTTTGGCAACTAAATGAAAACTGAGACTACGATTTTGAGAAAACTAGAGAAACATTTCAGAGCATCAATGAGAAAAAAATTTCTGACGTGGTGACTTTTCGATTTTGAAAAATGAAATTCAACAGGAATTAATTGAGGAGAATTATTTTTTATCTTTGCTTCAAGGCTGAACTTCAGACATCTTGAGAGCATTTTGGTTAACTGATCATAATTTATTTAACAGCGGTAGGATCTTAAAAATATAACCATTTACCGCATTCAAATGAAAAACAATCTTGACTTAAAGTTTTTGAAATTGGCATCTATTATTCGTTCAGAACAGTATTATTTTGGTTGTATGTACTAATTTTAACCACAAGAAAAATTTCATGCTGTGACTGGGGCGTCATCAGTGAGTAAAAATGTATAAAGACTTTGAGCATCAAAACCTCACAGAAATAAGAGAAAGGAAAGAGCAAGATAAGAATAGAAGAAATACACTTAAAAATTCCAGGCCAAAGTACGAAATTCAACGTTTCACCAATGTTTCTGAAGTGCTAAAAATGAAGGAAGGTTCAAACTCAGAAAAAAAAAAAAAAAAAAAAAAAAAAAGCTGCAAAAAGAGATGCAATAGAGGCGGTAAAGAGTTAAGCACCTGGGAGATTTTTTTTGACTCACTGGGATTGTAAATTCTACAACGTATCTACAGACTAAAATAAAGATCAGGTGCCTTACTGAAAAATTACGGAGTACACATAGTTACATGCGTATTGAAAAAAAGGGAAACAAAATTTGAATAAGGAGAAGAACGAAACTTTTGATCTACTTTACTTGTAACTTGAACAGCACTAGGAGTGGAACGATTAGGATAGAATAAATATGGTTTAAACTAAAAATATAATACGGGAATACAGGCAGGAACAGAACTTTTTTTCGAAGAGCAGGCAAATGAGAGCTTGCAAAAAAAAGACAGATAACTTAGAAGACAGAAACATACACTGTACTATACAATTCAGTAATGAGCCCTTCAATTCATGAATGTTTATTGTGATTGTATGATTCAAATCTTGAGAAAAAATTTTCTTTAATTAAAGTTTAAATATTTGCAAGTTCAGCCAGCCACAATGAGGTGTTTTGTAATTTTTTTATGGGGAGTGGAGCAAACTTCAAAACTCTTACAACTGTCGATTAGACAGAGAGGAGGTGATTTTGCAATTGTGCTTCAAAATACAGTATAGACAAGGAAATCCTATGTTAGAAGGAAAAAGGTAATTTGGACGTAATTTTCCCTCTAGGAGGGATGCTGTTTGGTGTAATCCTAGTGCATACTAGCAACTCTGGATGGCAAAAGCATTGTATCTCTGTCTAATCAACTCATTAAACCACGATCTGGACAGAGTAACTATCAATACAATAAAAACTGTGAAAACAATAAGTTTAAACTGTAAAGAATGCCGACTAATTTTGTTTTTTGATAAACTTTTTGCTTATTATTTAATTGTGGCTGGAACAGAGCAATTTCAGTTGGATCAATTAAAAACTGCAAACTGAGCTTGATTCAGGAAAGTTGAATTTTTTTATTTTTTTAAGACCGAATAGTTAGAGAGGAAAAAATACATTGTGCAATCTGTAGTAACGGACGAACTCTAGACGAAAGGAGAGCAAAATGAGTGGACACTAAGCATAAATAGATAAAAAGATGAATAATCTGGTTACGGAACTAATTTTGCCACACATTGAGCAATTTACTATTAGTGCCTCTTAGATTAGAGGTGAACACAGGTTTTCCAAAAAAAGAGGAAACTTATTGTGAGGTTTTCTGATGTATTAGGCAATTACATATTCACTGATCACTGAAGTCGAATCAGTGAAGAATTTAATTGATACAGGAATTTTCTTTTCCTTACATAAACTCAGAAAAATTCGGAGAATATGCAAATAATTGTTGATTATTGTAATTTATTAACATATTCGTTGATTTTTCTATTCAGAGGAACAATTTTTCATACTCCATGATGAAAGACAAGTCTCAGGTCAAATTGCGAAATGAGTGCTGAATGTGCTGATTGAGTGGATTCCGAAAGAAGGGATTGAGAGGGGGGGGGGAGGATATACATGATGCAAAAATATAATAAAATGCAATGCGAGTATAAGGAATAGCCTAAAAATTGGCAATGATTTCAAAACCTCATTAACTTCAGTATTAGTAAATTAATTATTGATGAAGGCAAAAAATACAAAACAGGCAAGATGGGAAACAAATGCAATCTGGAGAAAAAAACCTTTCTATCACTCTTCCCCATATTTCCGGTACAAATAAAAATACATACAAGATTAAAAGTAATTTAAAAAGAAAAAAAATAGTCAAAAACTTTTCATTCATATTCCATCCATGTGTGGAAAATTATGGTTAGATTTGTGCTCAAAATTCATTTTTAAGTCACACATAAACATGAGTATTTACCAGGGTTACAAAAAAAATTAAATTATTTTCAGGATTTTATGAACAGCTTTCTAAATGTTACTGAGTGTACAGTTGGAAACTATTAACGATGATGAAAGGGTAATGAGTATGGTCAAGATTTGCTTAAAAAAATAAGAAAGAAAAGAAAGTTTGCAGACGATGGAGTAATAAACCCGCAAAAAATATTAAGTACATGGTGAGGAGAAAAACAATAAAAAAATAAATGCATCAGTTTGAACTTGCAGTGAGAGAGAAATTAAAATTGTGGAATTATTTTTCATCATTCACTGGATACATAGAATACATAGTAGTATGTAATGTTTATCAGCTCCAATACATATTGTAAAGCATTTGTGCTCCTTTCGTAGAACTTTGATATGAGTACATTCATATAAGAACCATTCAACTGAAAACAGATCTCAAAATTAACAAGACAAAGAGGCAAGTCCTTTCAATTTTAACCAACAAAATAATAATAACCTTTTTAACCGGAAGTTAAGTATTATGGATAGTATCGTATTTTAATGATGTCACTTTTTGAGCTAAGCGTGATTGCAACATTTGAAAAGACTTAATGGAGTGTTTCCATAACAATAAATTTTACCAAGGAACAATCTTCCACTGAGGTCTTCAGTTAAATTGAATTGCATTAAAATATTAGCTTACTACATAGCTACACTCAGTGATAAACCAAAATTTTCAGACACTGTGTCTAATTTGTCCAAGAAAGGACTAATGGCACTAAAAATTATTTGTTAGCCCCTAGTTACTAAGAAGAGAGAAGTTTCCATTGCACAAAAATACTTTGATGCAGATGGAATTTACAAACTATAAGAGAAGATAATTTCTTGATAAAGGATCAATCAATCTTATATTGAGTGGAGGCAAACAAATGTCAGAGAAAATTCAGGGTTTACAAATATTTGGTGAAATAAAGGGAAGTCTTCATTACTGACAGCACTTCATTAGCAATTTTAACCAAGAATGATCGTAATTTTAAATATTATAGCAAATATCATCAGAATTGAGAGGGTTCGGGGTTCTAAAACCCTAAAAATATTATGCAGTAAGGAGGCTTTGGTAAGGATATCATATTTAATTTTTGGTACGGAAACTTGAATCATTCATTTTATCTGAATAGAAAAAACTTCAGGGTAGCTGCGACAGGACAATGATTTGACAGAGGGCTATTTCTTTAGTTGGAGATTCTACTTAACTAGTTAACAATTACAAACATTGAAAGTCTATGAGCACAGTGTTGCACACTGATGAGAATGAAATGATAAAATTTTGCAACCATATGAAGCATTACGCCTAAAAATTGTGCCTAGTTTGGCTTCCTTTTTCTAGATAGTCTATCTTCTTGACAAGACCGTAACAGTTCAGTATATTTTATGAATTTATATATTTTTAAGGAGTTACAGCCAGATTTGGGTCGAGGATGACCAATTGTTCATTTAATTTAGTCTCAATAAGAAGGTGAACATCAAGACCAAATCAAACAGGTCAATCCCTGCGCATCTTTTTGGATTTAACTCTTCTGCTCAGCGCTCACTGAACTGCAGCTGATGTGACAGAGCATTTATGTACTGCTCTCATAAGAAATGCATAACAACTTCCCACCACAGTGGACGGTAGGATCTCAAAACTCAACCATCAGAATGACTGACCTGTGTGCATTGGTGTTGGTGAACATATTGTACTAATCACTTTAAAATATTGAACAATGTTGCTTAGTAGCACCAAATTTTCCTAGGGTTGAAACAGATTATTCTGCGATACTTGATTGAGGAACACAATTGAGAGAATAAAACGAATGGCAGTTTTAAGTGGTGATATTTAAATCCTCTCAATAAAAATAAAGTGACACTACTTTACAATTTCTTCTCCCTGAGTTTCCCTGAGGCTCAAGAAGCAAGGAATGTTTTCCGAAAGAATTATGAATACAGTAGACACTACTTAATTCTGATGTCTTTCTTTTTGTCCTCCCCTCTTTCTATTAGTGTTTTTTAAGAAAGAGGTTTTATCCAGGAAAACTAATGACCCTGTCATCACAATATTTCAATAGATAAAAAAAATTGATTTACCTAATAGTTCAAGTAAGTTTCTCCTAGGGCACGTTGTAAAAATAAGTAGTAACACGCATTTATCTTCTCCTTAAATTTCACGTTGAAAGAGCTTGAAATGCAACAAATTTAGCATTTATTTACATTGGAATATAAAAAGTCTAAACAAGGAGAATGAGGGTTCAAAAGATTTTATGTGCACTTTTAAACGACTTCGACAGCACCAAATATTAAGATAAAATAATTATGAATTCTTATCAAAGTTACGGTTAGGAGTAAATTGTTGAAGCAAAAATACCAACTTAAGGATGAAAGAAATCTATAGGACAAAATTGGACACTAGCCAAGAATAATTGATCATGACTAAAAACCAGTGACAATAAGAGAATCATTGCAAAAAGGAAAAAAAAAGGGGGAGCCCTTTTGAGGGAGAAAGAACTGTTCCAAGGGGGGATGGGGGGCAGTGATGTACTGAGTTACAGTGATGCTAGGAATGAACTGCAGACTGATTCTTCTAAAGACTTTCGGACTCTTTCTGAGAGCATCCACTGGATTATTATTAGTTAAATTGTATTTATTTTTAGTTCCTCCAAAGAAAATCTCTCTTCAAAATTCTCTTTAAAATTGCATGGCCTCAGTGAGCCGTCCTGAACTTATCTCAGGATTTTTCAAAAATTGTTCTTTAACTTTTTCTCTGAGAGATTTGATGAAACTGATGAAGACTTACTGCTACAGTGAAGATGTTGATGTGCTCATAAGACTGTGAAAGCATTTTATTGAAAAAACAATAATCTAAGAGAGTTACAGATTATTCAATAGGTAAACATCCTTCAATTCTTATTTAAACAAATTTGCTTTAGGAAAGCGCGACTAAATCATTACCTCTCAAATTAAAATCAAGTCAAAGATTTGAAATTGAAAAAGGAGATACCAATTATCACTGCACTTTCCTTAATAAAAGAGCTAGGCATTAGATAATTGGTATAAAAAATGTAGGTATGTGAAATTTACCTCAAGGGAAAGAAATCATTTATCAGTAATTTTTAAAATTGAACTTTTTGTCACTGTTTTAGAGTCAAAAAATGATCAGAAAAGAAAGTAAGTAGAAGAGTAGACATGTGAGTAAAAAGATGAGAAAAACGGAGTAATTTTTCCTAACACACAACAGAGAAAAGGGTATAACAAAACATCTGGCACAAACACCGCTCAGTAAAAATGAAAATTCAAGTGATTAGTGATGTCTGTAAAATGAAACATGAAGGAAGGAAGCAAAGAAGCATTAATGAGAAGATTCGAGACTAGACTGTCTCTTCTCGGAAACTGCATTCGAGTTTGAGAAGTATACAACGGTTAGTATTCGCTTTACAATATCTACAAGTTAAATTCAAAGGAAACTTTGAATTTAAAAGCTCACTCAATTTATCCCACCAAAATTAAGACTCTAGATCAAGTCCGATTCATGTATCTATAAAGTTACATGAGAACAGTTCAGAGAAATACATCAGCAACAAAATTACTTGGCAGTAATTTCAAGACAGATACACTTTTTGAAACTAGTGGAGAAACTTTGGTTTGACATATAAAAACCAACGATAAAATAAAATATCGCAATATTATACCTAGAATAGTTACAAATAATTGGCAAAATTGGCTCACTAGTTGATCAACAAATACTATTCCCTCCTTATAGTGGCAACGATTTAAATATGTACATAATTCTGTACAGAAATTTTTTACACACTTGTGAATCTACTCTTATGAAAGCGATTATAATTAAATTTTACACATCTTACATTTAAGAAACGAGGCACTCACTTCAGATACACTTCACTAACTGAAAAATTGTCTAATGACAATACAATGATAAAACTCAAGCAACACCATCTGTTACAATCTCTACAGTTGGATAATAGATAATAAAGAAAATTTTTTTGCAATCAATAATTTTTTCCAACATGATTCAATTTGAGAAAATCTTTATGCATACTTCATAAAAATTTAAAATAACGAGTAAAAGTTAATACTATTGACATCTGCGATAATTAATTTATATAAGAGGTCTTGAACATATTAATTCAAGCTCTTTTGAGATTTAGATGATTCACAAAAGAAAGAAGAAAAAAACGTAAGAATTGCAGAGACGAATAAAAAAGAGATTCCTCAGTGTATGGAAAATTTAGGCAATATTTCAGTTGAGAAAAGTGTACCCGGACATTTTCTTGACAAAGCGGTCAATCAACATTTTTCTCTATTTCGTCACCTGACTTACATATTTTCACATTTTCCAATTTTATCACAAGAATCACTTAAGTAATTAGCAGTCTTTAATTTTGGATGTAAAATTCCAAACAGGAATAAAAATCTCAAATTAAAAATTATGGAAGTTGTGAAAATGCAGCAACTTGAAGTAGTATCGAACTTATCAAATAAAAAATTGAAAAAAAAAAAAAAAAAAAAAACCCTTGGATGTTTTATAAATTTAAAAAAAAAATGATAAGACATGTGTCAAAAGTCTATCAAATATGGACTTGAAAAATGAGAAAATTAAGTTAAAACTCTATCAACTAATAATGTAACTGCAACAAAACCCAGAGGCAGGTTACAAAATGAGATCCGAGAGAAAGATTTCACCATATGTGAACCTTACAATGAGCAGTCTTAGAAATAATTTTTTTCTGATCTAACTTGCACCATCTGTCACTTGACGATGAATGCTGTACTGGTGTTCTTTTTATCTTTAATTGACTTCAGATGAATGGATGATGATATTATACTCCGTTGAATAAGGCTCAAAACAAAATTAATAATTGAGATGAATTTGGAAATTGAAGGAGCTTATGAAATTTGAAAGTTAATAATAAGAGTCTGGCAACAGCAAGTGGCAGTTTAATTTGATTAAATTAGGATTTTGTGAAGAACTGTTGAGTTTAATTGAGCTAATGAATAAATCTATTGATTTCAGATGAGAGCCAAATAAGGTCAAGTAACAAAACGATTCCTCGGTTTAGAAACTAACACTTCACCTTCTTGGAAGACAGTGAGTGCAAGCGATCAGGTATAAACTATTACACTCAGTTTGGACATACAATGATTAATTGAAAATACTATAAGAAATTATTAGTCATTGACATAAAATCATTAGTAACAGGATCGTAGAAAACAGAAGGGGAAAACTGATTCTCTTGATACAAAATGAATATCAACTGGGAGAATAATAAAAGTAAAATGGCTGTAATGGGTCTAAATTCGATACTGTATGAAATATTCAGATGGTAGTGAGTCAGGTGACCTTACTTGTCAGCATGCCGATGTCTCTTCACCTTCCAAAGTGCAAGCAACGTTTTCTAACTTGTGTGCTAAGTGCATTTTACTACAATAAGTATCAGCTTCCAGGGATTCAAAGATCTGGAAAATAAAATTAAAATTGATAATTACTAAAATTGAGCACGTTTATTATTCTTTTAGAAGTTGTAGGTTAAGTTCCCACAGAGATGGTCACTTTAAAATCTGGTTAGATATTATTTTTTGATAGTTGTTTTATCGACAAAAAAAAATTAATCCTAGAACAAACCATTTGAGATTGGTGAAGTTGGTAACAAGAAATCACAAGCAAAATTTCTAAAAGGTGTATGTAATTCTTAAAACAGTATGTTAACTTTGATCAAATTTTCCTGATTAAGAAAAAGTTTGGCTAGCTCACTTGTATTCACTTGGGGATCATGGTAAATTTAATAAAAATTATGAAAAAGCACAATTGGTAGAACAATAATATGAGAGTATCCAAGGACTGGCCTTCTACTCTACACTTGGCTGCTGAAATTTGCTAGTGAGTATTGTTTGACGGTTGGTATAAATTGAATCCAGTTATTACAGCAATACAAGGTTGCAATTATGTAGTGTGGCTCTACAGTGGGTCAGAGGCGCCCTTTTTTCAATGAGCTTTCTGAAACTACAGAATGAATTAAGCTTCTAGGAATTGTTTTAGATTTTTCAACCTTTACCGGCAAAGAAACCTCATTAGAAACCCAATAGAAACGATATTTTCAGCAAGCTCTGATGACAAAGTCAGGCAGGGGAAACGGCAATTGCTGATTGACTGAACTCAGCTTCAAGTATTGACTTGCTACGTAAACTCGTGTGCAGGCTTGATTAGTTGGATTTTATTTAGCTTTTTCTCCCTTTAAAAATGATACTTTGAACTTTCAATGTATTTTTCAGTTTTTTCACAGAAGTTCACATTTGAAAAACTATATCACCCCTGGAAAAACTCTTTGCCACTGCTCCATTAGTTGGATGTAGATCAAACCTGAAAATTCTTTAAAAAAGGTGAAAATACACCCTTTCAACAGGAGTAATCTGGTCCTGCTTGCTCTAAAAATGTGTGTATGTAATAACCTTTCCTAAAATATTACATCAGGTTGAGCACTAGTAAGTTGTAAAATGGGTCTGTCTCTGCTTAGCAGGTTTGCACATCATTACTAGATTTGCAGGAGTGAACTTTAAACTTCATTAACTTGGTTTCGTGGAATGATTAGAACTAATGACAACCTCAAAAAAACACAAATTTCGGATGGTATTCTGAAAGTCGTGATATAGAAGTTTTACTGTCAGAAAATTTATCTATCAAAAGCAACTTAATTGGGAAGCAAAGTAATTGGGAGTTTTGATTGAAACATTTTCTGCAATAATTTGAAAGTTCGTCCTGGAACTGGGTTCTTCACACTTATTTACAGCCCCCATCTCCCTTCAATAATACGGTTCCGGAAGGAAAGTAATTTGGTTAAGATTTTAATACCATCAAAATACTAGAATGAAATTCAATAAAAATTTGGGTGTGTATAGATGGAGTGAGCCTTTTTATGAAAATTAAGAATTGAAAGAATGTAATTACCTGATCGCTATACTTGGATACATAAATATACAACTCTTTTAAAGCTGACACTGTATGGAAACTGCTAGATTGCATACAAGATAGTTGTGACATGGTGGCACTTAGATCCTGGTCCGTTATCTGAGGCATTAATTGAATTTCGTAGTAAAACCTAGAACACATAAATTATTCATATTTTAGCAACTATGTTAACAATAACTCTCTTATTATGATGGATTGTAAATTAAAAACTTAGTGCATTCACTTTTTTTAAATATACTGATATATTGATTAAAATTTGATTGATTCAGTTTAAAACTGTTTGAGAGTCTGTATCTATAGCTCTGCATAGTTTGTGTTATGTCACTCTGAGTTGATAACACAGAATTGAGTTAAAAAAAAGACAGTATTAGTAACTTACCTGGTAACTGCTTCCCGATAATGAGGAATATCTTTTGCAAACAATAATTTATTGGATGGTGAGTCTTTGCCTAGCCTATGGTTGGTTGTAGAGCAAGAATCCATGAATGTTTGAGCAATGACTGATAAACATGCATCAACTGTAGGTGTTTTATTTATATCAAAAATGAAATCAGGATTCTTGATAAAGTTCACCCAAAATCTCAGCGGAAGACTGAAATAAAAAAATCACAAAGCACATGTAAATCTTGAAACCATAAAGCAATAATGGGTGTTATGTTTGAACAATCTTCATTTCTGAACGGATGAGAGATACAATTGGTAAGGAATACAAATACTCCGTAATTCATCCCCTCCTCTAAAATGCGGAGGCTACAAGAAAGGAAAGACTATTTATTCTTATCGGGGATGACAGAAACTTCTGATTTCTAAAAGCTGAGTGACTGATGATGGCAGCATGACTGCAAAATCAATTATTTCCCTTGAAATTAGTTGCAAGTTTCAAAATTATACAGATCTTTACTTGGAAGCGATCTTCTTCAGAGTAATCTCATCTGTAAAGTTTACGAATGAAAAATTCATGGAATATTGATCGGAGGAACTGCTGGATGTGAGTTGTAGCACAAGTGTTACTTAGATTACCCAGACAAATTCTTATGCAACATTACGTAACTGGAGTTTTGGGCTTGTTTTCAAAGCTGCAGAAAGTATTAAGCATAAAAAAATTAGCAATCAACAAGTAAGGAAACTTCTTCGGGCACTGCTTGAAGGATTCCTAGGATGTGTAATTTGATATCTATTTGTGCCATCTGTACAATTTGGTGATATGAAGATGTGATGATGACAGATTGATTGATGTGTGATTTCTACAGAATATTTTACTGACAGTTGAGACTATGCCGATAGAGAAGTAAAACAAGCCCAAAGGAATCTTCTTACCTATTCGATTTCCAAGCATGCACGACCTCTGGATCGGCAATATTGTGTTTCTTAGCAGCTTCATCAAACAGATCAAACAACCATTTGACTGCAGGCGGGAGAGCTTCATTTGCTGTGAGAACTGTGCTGAAAAAGTCATCAACAAATTTCTGGATCGTGCCTTTTGTTGAGAGCAACCTTGTGAGAAATATCTCTGGGATGGCTTTGTGCGTACGCTCACTCGTTTTACTTGTCTGGAACTGATGATCATCTATGGGCCGCACCAAATGATACAAATTTGCATTCATTCCTGTCTCCAGGTCCCCATTTGTCATCACCTCTGCTGAGAGAGAATTTGTGAAGTGGTACGGACCGGTGCCTAAAAGTAAGAGGGACATGGAATGTTAGTTTGAGACAAGACAAGATTTCTTGAGGTTATAAATTCTACTGGCTTGTTCCCTAATAATTTTTTTCTCACCCCTTTTGACATATTTTCTGAAGGAATTACACTTTTCTTTAAAGTACAAGTTACTTCAAGGACTCAAAAAGTTTCCAGCTTACAATAGACTGCTACACAGCATTGACAATCAAGGATGGATTGCTGATTCTTTGTATCAAAGCATTTGGAACTTTGTAACACATTTCTGGGAAATGACATTGCTATCAGTTCTTGACAAGAACAGAGCCCCAACAATTAAAATCTTAAATGAAAATAACTTAAGTTTTTTTATTGATCAGTTATGATTACATTCTCTGGCTCAGAGCAAAATCATTGAGGCAAGATTCTGTGGAAGAACAGAATTTTTTCACTTATAAATTAAGAAGCCAGTATTCATCCACAAAAAGCTACGTGATGATATCAAGATTAAAATAAATTATAAAAATAGAACTCACAATTTTGAAAGGTCTTTTCCAGATTTGCATGGTACGTTTCATTTTGACGAGGTATAAGAGACATCACAGCCGATTCTTTGACACCATAATGTGCCAAAGTGTTTAGTCTGCGCCAACCACAAACCGTTTTTGTTGTCAGATCCTCATCTTGCAAGGTTAGGTGACCCCCTCTTCCATGTCTCCATTCTAGAACAAAACAGTTACGCATAAATTGAGAGGAAAGACTGAAACTCAAGGGAATTGGGTGTTTAAATTAGGCATATACAATTTTCTTTACAATCAATTTCCGGAATGTATAATACCGCCTCTCTATAATGGCACTTGCTTTAGCAGAAAACTCTCTTCGGCAGCAACATTGGCCGAACCCTTGATGTTCTCATCCTGAATACATACATGCATTTTTCCCTCTTTACATAACGTACAAAATAAGAATATACATTTTTCTTGATACATTTAATCAAGTTTTAGCTTCGAGGTCACCAAAAATCCAACCTGGTTTCAAACAGGAAAATATCACACCAACAAATTTAGTGGCGTCACAAGAGGAATTGAACTTTATGTATCTTTTAATGCTTGCTTATTTTTATATTTATTTTCAGGTCGCAATTTTAATGATGGGTTATTGATTTTAAATGAGTTCGCAATATTGTCGTTGTTTGAAGTGAATATTTTTGTAGCTTTTATTTTTAAATAAAATAGTTTCTTCGGAATTTGTATCTTATGGCAGCCATGTCCCATTGAATTGGTGGTTGAAACCATGTGGTCATCGCCTGATATGATGTCAACAGCATCAGGCTGATGAGAAACATTCCCTACATTACTATAACATTAAGATCCTTCTGTTTAGTCAGAAAAAGCAATTTTCCATAGGTTTCTTGCAAAAATTTACAGTTAAAACTCCTATCTTCAGGGCGATTCCTGAATCTTTTGGCGGCCTTATTGTAAGATTTCAGTTCTCATTACAGGATTTCTGATAAAAAAGAAATTCTAGGTTCTGAATTGTAAGATTCGAGTACATATGTATTCCACTTTTGACGTGTTAATCGAAACTGCAACATTAATAGTATTTGTTTGTAATGCTCTTGTATATTGTGAGATGCTGCAAGATTTAAAGCACCTCCAGAATCAAACAACGACGGTGTGCAATACCTAATGCACTGGTTGAAAAAGTTTCCTTATATTGTAAGATAATAAGATAGTATGGATAAATTTCAATACATAAGGCTTAGCCAACTTTGAATTTTGGACTGCGCGACCAGAACCAAACCCTTCTAATTGTCATTGGATTTTAATTTCAGCAGTCACATGACTAATTCAGTTTCAGAAGTTGCTGAGGAAGTTTCACAGTGATCACAGCTTTCAGACAGAGCAACAAAAAAACTTAAAGTATGCATTAGATTAGTGAGAAACTTACCGAGATCAACATCATGGATGGAAGGCCTTAAAGAGAAAGGTGTATTTTTGTATAAAGCATCTAGTATTTTTGATTTTACTTGGCTTATTGTATCACAATCTAAGACTTTACACTGGACTTTTTCATCAACATCATCTTGTATCATATGTACAGTCTAAAACAAGGAAAAACAAATCAATTAGTTTATTCACTCGAATGAGCAAAGTTAATATGTTAGTAAAGTACAATCAAACAAGTAAGAAAAAAGAAACAAATACTACATTGTTCCGATTAAACTGGTCTTCCTTTTCTTTCCTCTTGCTTTTGTATCAGTCGGCTAGTATTTTTATTAAGTAATGAAGACTTGTCTTTTTGGTTTGTGGCTTGCTGTGGAATTTCGCATTCTTTTCCTGGAACTCTTTGACAGGATTATTTGGAAATGTCTAGAAAAAATTATCGCTGATTTCTTCAATTTTTTTTTTTAGAAGAGATTAGGAACAGAAATTTGTGACAAACCATTAAAGACATTTTGTATTAATTCCACTATCAATATACAGTTTATCAAAAGTAGATAGGTGTAGTAAAAATAATGAAAACGCATTTATGAAAAAGTGAGATCAAGTTTCAAAACAACAACAAAATGGTAACCAAAACCAATACCTCCAGGCATTTACTTGTATTCCACCAGTGACATATTGATAATTATAATTGCATGCTTAGGAGAATGAGTTTTCTAATTCTAAAAAATCCGGATGAATTATGAAAATTATGATTTAAATTTCAGCCATCGTATGACTCCTTGAATTTACGTGACAACTCACCAAAATCTTTAGCACAGGAGACAAACTAATTACTTCACATAGACTGAACCTTTAGTGGATCGATTGGATTATCTCGGATGAAATTTGTTCATAGATTTGAAGGAACAGAATCAATTGCAGAATTATATGGAAAAATCTTTTTTTAAAATTTTACATGATTCAGTGAGCTGATAGTTCATGAATTAGAGAGACAGGAAGCGAAGAATGAAAAGCAAGATGAAACACCAAATATAGCGTGAAATGACTGTAAAAACATACGTGATAAGGCTGGTATGGAATCTTATCATTCCAACGATCCTCCTGAACAAGACGAATATTCTATAAAACATAAACACAGAAAGAAAAACATGTCAGCCAATTGTCCCAGAGCAAACATGCAGAAACAATACAAAAGCAGCACATGTAAACAAAAATTAAATAATTCTTTCGTTAAATACTGAGTGGTTTACTTTGAATACAGAGACAAAGTGACCCTATCAAGTTCTTGGAGATTTCGTTGAGTGCCCAACTTCCCCCAAACGCTAATTCCTTGTAGTTACACATACCAGTATATGATCAATTATGCATAAAATTAAATGCAACGGAGGACCGGAATAAAGACAAATGATACTTTCATGACAAGAAAAAATCTTACATCATACCACAGGGAGTTGTAAACTGAGCTAAATAAGGATAAAGGAGATGCTGGGATGAGAGATAACTCCCACACTACTACATCTGTAGGCTACAGCGTTTTTAAGGGGACCACTTTGGGGTATTTCTCAGAGGAGAAATACATATCCAATTAGGATTGTTTTTTCTACATTTTCGGGTTTGTTTGAGGGTGGAATGGGGAATTTTCTTGGCCAGTTTTTTGGGCAAATCAATTTGGGTAAAACCTGCTGCAGTTTGATAAATTTTTGAGCCAATCCTGAAACACGCACTCCTTAAAAATGTATTTGTTTGCAGGACACATGGCACCAAAAGAGGCTTTTCTTCACAATTTAACCGAGTTAATCTCTGGACTTGACATCTTTACAAAAAAGTTAGGAATTGGAAGTTGGAAGTATTTTAACACAGATTGTCCGACTATAAAAAAAAAGAGGAAACAGGTAAAAGCACTTACAGTTACAGGTCATGACAAAAAAATAAAGCTTCTCAGAATTTTGAAAACCTGCTAGAAAACTGAAATTGCAAGCTCCCAACAGTTAAAAAGCGCCAAGAGAAATTGCCTTTACAACTTTTAAATTTTGCACTTTCTTCTATGGTATTTTATTCATAATCTTTACAAGCATTTGGACACCACACAACTCAGCAGAAAGAACAGATTCACAGTTCCTCATCCAATTTCTTGGAACTAAAGCTTGATTGTAAAAGTTTGAGATTATTTTCAGCGAACCCCTTCAAGATATGCAAATGTATTCAAAACCTGGATTTTTCCGGTTGCACCAAGAAATTCGGTTTAAATAGTTAAAAGATGACGAAATTCATTTTTTTTTATCATACTGATGTTACATTTTGTTTTGATATCTTCAAAACAATAATGACGGCTTTATTTCATGAAGATTTTGCCACCGATTTAATTAAATTTTCCATCAAGCATATTTCTTCATCCTCTACTCTCCTGCATGAATCCACAAGAGGAATAAGGGAAAATGTATAAACTATTCCACCGCTTTGTGATACTTTACGTTTTGAAATTTTTTGATCCTGCAATATGAAGCCATGCAATCCTACTTAGTTCAAATAAAAATGACAAAATATCCATAATAAAATTTTCTGAAGGAGCGGATTCAACTGTTAAAGGAAAATGTGTGAATTTTAGGGAACAGAATAATATTACCTAATAAAGCAACAGAGTATTTGTTCTATTTCTTTATAGTCTGGAGTAACACGATTTTGTTCTATTCTTATCAATTTTCCCTGCCTAAACTTGATTAGTATGTACAAGAAACATCTTGAAAAAAAATTCCCAAGTCTCTGTAGTGTTTAAATCATGATTTTAACCTGTTCTATGTGCTGTATACGCCATTGAGAGTTCGTTTTTGACTTCGGAGAGAACAGGCACTGAAGAACAAATAACGTACCTACCGGCATGGCATGAACCATGCGCACGCTTTTCCATGGAAAAATGAGCCAAAACACAGGGGTGCACAGCATACTCATCAAAAAATATACTATACAATGCACAACTGAATTGCCATTTCCCTAAATGATTGTTCTACCAATTAATAGAATTTAATGTTTTAATTCATTTCAGGGATGAAACATTATTACAATCGTGATGAGTAGCAACTAACAGAAAAATATCTAATCCCGAAGCTGAGGGGCATAAATATTTTAAAATTGACACCCGTAAAAGCGTACCATGTATTTGAGAGGCAAAATATATAAAAATTGAAAAAAGAGAACTCACCACAACGCTGTGTTCAATCTGCTCTCGTAATAGTCTCTCCTCTGAGAGGGAGTACCTGGCATCATGTGTTAACGCGTCAACTGGTCCTTTTTCTATTTGATGCTTAATAGCTTTGTACAGTAGAAATAGGGATGACCCTGCATAATCTTTGAGATACTTATACATGCAGAGTGCCATCCAGTTGGTTAACATCTTTTCGACGACTGATTCAGTTCGTCGCAACATTAGCTGTGGATGCTTGGTTTCGACTGATTTTTCAATGAGCCTCAGCAGCAGACAGCGAAGGACATCTGTTGCATACTCCATTTTATTCATTAATACTACCATTAGTAATGATGCTACATTCACTCTGTAAAAAACATCATCAAAAATCAATTTTAAGTACGAACAAAATTTTACACAGTGCTAAAGCATTTTTGACATGGGAAAATACAAAGAGAGTTTGAAAATTGTACACTTCAAACATGCCCTATGACAAAAATCTTCCTGTTAGTTTTCATCTTCGATACCTGATTGTCAAGTTGCTCAAAAAACTGATCTTTAACATTGAATAGTGCATCGTCGTTAACACAATACACTCTGAGTATGTTGATCTTGTGGCCATGCAATGGTCTAGCATAGTATAGCGCCTACTGCACCGTAAATGTACGGTGCCATGCAAAAGATGTTCTGTCCATCTCTGATGGCATCAAAAAGACGTCACATATGACTGCACCATTTATAGCATAATAAGATGTTAATCTTGCGGTGAAAGGAAAATAATGTTTTGTAATCGTACGATCATATTTGAAAGTCCAATAAGTATGTCCATGACAACAAGTATTTTAGAATCACCTCTAATGGAGGATAAGAACAATTAAATGATGACGAGATTGAGGTTATAACGAAGACAAACTACTTACTTGTCACGAATGTTAAAAGTTTTTTGAGATTCTAAAGTGTCAATAAAAGTTAATACAAAGTATTTGTTGTTCATGAGCTGCTCAAATTGTATCATTGCCGCATCATAATTAGTCGGTGGAGCATTCATCCGCACCTGTTTTGAGAAAAAATAGAATGAATTGATAGTGATTATAATAATTAATTAGACGTCCACATGCAGTAAACAGAATCTGTTAATTCTCATATAACCTGCCATGATGTTGTGGCAATTTTTTACTTACAGGTCACAAAAAAAGAAGAACATGTGTCACAATATTGAATTCTATGCATCATTGTGGTTCAGAAATTAAATTAATGCCTTCAGTAACACTTATTGACTTAAAAAATTTATTTTTTCTCTTCATTTGAGGAGAAAAGAGAAAGGAAGATTGAAATAACGAAGCTAATCAAAATTGAAATGGTAGAACTGGTTTACATCTTGCAAAAGACAATCAAAAAGTGAGTACAGCTAGCTTGAAAGGGTATGGATCAATTTCTTGTTCTTTTACTGGTGCTCTATTTTAAACTCAAAGGTCCATCTCAACAGAGGGAAAAAATACTTAAAAAATTTCTAAAGTACAAAGAAAGAATGTTTTTCAGACATCAAAATTAGAAAAATGATCATCACTTGCCTTTGGATCATTGAGAATTGGATGATCTCTGACACCGGGGAAAAATACCTTCAAAATATAATCATTATGATCCAAAGTTGGAATGCCTGAAGATTCCAAATCAGCAGTAAGGTCAGTCATATCAGTTTGTAACTCTGCAAAAGCTGAAAACAGAAAAGATTGTTGTAAAGTAAAGAGTATTTAGGACTAGCTTAAAATATATGGTCAAAATATAAGTATGTGAGCAGTAGGTAAGGAAGGGATTTAAATTAATCAATGGAGTTCTGAACTATCGTGATTAAAAAAAAATCATCAATTTGGCATCAATATTACATCGTTTTCGTCCACATCGGCTAAGTGTAGAACGCGATGCAATTTATCTCACAAAATAACCCGTTTAACTACCGTGGCTAGGTGTATTTTTGGTTATGTAACTGTCCTTGACTGATTGAGCTGTACTCCGGATCGCCCAACCTCCACCATGTGGCGACAGGTCAATTCACCAGCAACGTCTCGCGACAATCGAGGATGAATTGGTCTGTCAAATTCTCGCTCAAAAACCGACCGCTCCGCACCGGCACTTTTCAGCGCCGTTCGTAGCTTCATGGATTTGAACGAGGGCTGCCTATACGAATTAATGGGGACGACAAAAAGAGAACAGAGATTTCGCCAGTGCAGATTGAACAAGAAAGCATCAATTCACTATCAATCCGTCCTTCTCTACAGGAGGACCTTACCGGACTGTTCTTTTTGTTGGGAGGTCGTTACCGGACTGTCAGACCACAGTCCGGTCCTGCGCTGGTTGCCCGTGAGCTCCAGCGGCCCCCTCCCGATCGCCGCTTGGCACCGGGCATATGCGCCGTCTCGCTCTCCTCTCTTGCAGCAGTAGGGAGTACTACAATAATAAGAGTAAATAGTTGAAGAAACTTTGTCAATTTACCTTGTTTGCACTCTGACCGAACATTACTTTCTAACGTGTCCATTTGTATCTGTATACGTTTGTACTCGCGCTCAGCTTGCGTTGATTTACGCCTGTACACAATGAGAACAACAATGAATACAAAAAGAAGGCACACAGCACCGGTAATAATTCCAGCAATTGCTTCCGGGGGGAAGAAGTATGGCGTAATCATTTCATAACGTAGATAACCAATTCGAAACCGCAAACTTCGTCCAACTCGAACCTGAAATTAAGGAAATAAACAAAAAAGTAGAATAAAAAATTAAGACACATAGTTGAATACATGGATGAAAGAAAAAGAATTTCTTATCAAACAGAGAATATATTACGTCTACTATCTGCCAAATTTGGTAGATACATGGACGGAAATCGAAAGGCATTCTGCGTTAAAATGGGGAAATAACTGCACGAGACGGATTGAGAATCTTCTAAAACGTTGAAATTCCAAAGTCTGGTTCAACCTTCTATTTAGACAATATGACAGGGCGTGCATACCAATGCTTAGTTGTAAGAATGTATACCCTCTTTCCTCAATCAGAAACATAATCAACTAACGACTTACTTAAGTCTTAATTATTTACATGTAAGAATATTCAGCTTTGATCGCAAAGAAGGGTAGCCTTGCAGGTTATCTGACACCGTTTATGGTAATTTCTACATACATCATTTGAAATTTTTTTCTGAATGAGTGGCAGGAACAGTAACTTATCTCTTTTTTTAAAAAAAAAAAAAAAAAAAATTCTGCAACGCCATACCTGATAATTCTCTTAAATTTTCATTTTACAATAAATGATGATGATACTCACAACAACAAGAGGAAGCCCTGTATGTGTAGCAAATCCGTTTTCATCAGTTGGTTCTGGCTGAACCAGAGGCGGTGTACAGACCAACTGACTGCTCGCTAATGATGTAACATTGCACGCAACAGTGCCGATTGTTACATTAACATCAGTCTCATCACTGGCTAAGTTTAAATTTTCACCCTGCAAAAAGATAATGAAAAGAGAAATGAAACATAAGCTATCGACTTGACTCTTCAAATACACACTGTGGTGGTCTGTATAAGATTAGAGAGAAAAATCACAAAATACTAAATTCCATATGGTATACAAGCGTGCTTGGATAAGGCCTGTTATTATATGTACATGTATTTCTATACGAAAAATGCACAACATTACAGTGGAAGGGAAAAAAACTATGAGTTGTTTTATCATTTTATCGTAGGTTCTCAAGACAGGATGAAATAATGGGTTATTACTTTAGGACGTGTGATACGTATTCTTACAATTTTTACAAGGTACGAATAATACACATGTAGGTTTTCAGCATTAAATATTCAACATTCATTGCGACTCGTAAGTTCAGGTTTTAAATTCCATTGACTAAGATGCAGATTTTTAAACATTTGTTCAGTCCTAGAGTCAAGAGCTGGCACATAATGACACAAAACCAGGACAAACAGACAAATGCAACTTTGCAAAGTTAACGTTTACATACCTCAATAACCAAAGTATCCCCTTTGTACAATTTTACATTATTTAGGAACTGAAAGAACTTGGGGTCATCCACATAGCGCAGGTGTGACGGGAGGCCTTTGAAGTGCTTCTCCAAGTCAGTCACTGTTTCCACGCTGTCCATGATGAAACCAATTTTGAGAGATAAATGAAAGACATGTAACTTTGGGGAGGAGAGGGAGCGGCGCCGATGGAGCCTCGTTGACGCTCTATGAAACTGCTGATTGATGGCTGGGGAAGGACACTCCATTTGGGCAGTATTCAGAACAACGCATTCCTGAAATTAATAAAATGAAACATTAATTAGAACAGCCACATTTAAAGGTTTCGAATTTATTATATACCCCTAGATCTTAAAAGAAGTTCCCACCACCAGGTTTCATTCATGAGTTAGCTCTGAGTTGGTGCCTGACAGTTACTCCAATCATCCTGGATGCTGATTTTTGGAGGCCGAAAAAATAAAGACAAAGACGGAGGAAAAATGAGAATTGTATGCAAAATAAGATAAAGAAGTGAAGGGACGAAGCCATCAGAGAAAGAAAAAGAAGAAAAATTTGATGGCCATGCAAAGATACTTTTTTGAGGAACAAGAGATTATCTCGTTAAAGTTGTTCAGCAGAATTTCATGGGAATGGACCACTAGACAAGGTGCGAATTTCAGCACTCTGATATATGTTCCGTAACCAAAATTTCACGTAGATAACGATGCGCACAGTGAAAATTATCGAAATCAACTCCTCACAACGATATTTAATGATTCTTGATGCGTGAATTCAAACCACCCGCTCATGAAAACTCAATGCTCTACGTGATTCACATCGCGCGCTAAACGTTATCATGACAGTCTCTGCGCGATGTAAAAATCTGGCAACCTCAATCTTGACGCTTTGGCTCAGCTATAGCAAATTGCCTATAGTTCGATCAACACATGGTGGGAAATGAATATTGCTCGATTAAGAAACTTGCTGAGACCGTTGTCGTGCGCGATTTGAATCACGTAGAGCTTTGAGTTTTTTGTGAGCGGGCAGTTCAAATTCCTCGTAACCAATGTGAAATGAAAAGGTTAATATCTTCGTTAGGAGTTGGTTTCAGTAATTTTCGTTGCGCGAATCGTGTTTTACGTAAAATTTCGATTAAGAAACATGTATCAGAATGCTGAAATTCGTACCTTGTCTAGTGGTCCATTCTTATAGATAACATCTTTATTTAAAGATGTTTGATGTTGATTAGCTACAACTTTGTTTATTTCTAAGCAACAAAATGAAGTTAGCAGTAAAAAGTATTTTTTTAGTAGTGTTTCGGTAACATGGTTCTGCAGTTAGTTTGGCTGTAGAGTCTTTGGCAACGTCCGAAACTGAATTCCAAAGAGAGGAACTGAGTTCATCGCTCTTGCGAAAAGTTATACCTATGAGCTAACCAGCATACTCCCTGTCTCTACAAAAAACTTTGTGTATTTCTGTTAAACGTAGTCAAAATGAGACAGAAATACTTCTCATTTGCCACAAAAATTAGGTACACAAAAACACCATCTCCTCAATGAGCAAATCAAATTATTTAACTGCCGAAAAAAATTTTCTGGAGGAAAAATTTAAAACTGATAGCAAGTTTACGAAAATATAGATCTTCTGAAAGATTGATTAATTTAGAATGGGAGAGCAGAGAAAGAATTGAAAGGACCCCGCACACTTCTTATGGGGATGTGTACCACGATCGATTTTTATTTTTTTTATTGTTTTAAATTCATGAAAGGATGCTGATCAAGTCATCATTGCGCAATCTTTCTATGAGCCACCATCTCCGCACAATTCGCCAAAAAGCATTCCGATAATTCCTTGCATAAATGAAGATGACGAGTACTCCAGTCCAGTTCGGATCGATTGAGTAAGTGTAAATCACTTAAACAGGAAAACCGATCAGCAGCCGAGCGACGATCTTATCTCCGATTCCACACGCCTTTTCTTTTCATCGTCCATATCAGTTTCTTTCTTTCTCCCACTCTATTGTACTTACCAGACAGTCACGCACTGCGTTTTGATTTTAGCCGGCCTGTAATGAAAATTATCTTCAATCGGATATTGTGCAAAAACGGTGGCTCCTAGAAAGTTGGCGCAATTATGACTTTTGATCAGCATCCATAGACGAATTAACAACAATAAAAAAAATTAAAAATCGATTGTGGTACACATCTTCATAGGGAGTGAGCACGGTCCTTCAGGAGTTTTAGGTGAAACAATTAGAAAAGAGAAAACATCGATGAGAGTTAGAATAATTAGAATTAAAATTGAGATATCTTACAGTTTTGTTGATGGGATTGTTGATGGATTCCACGAAGACAACCATTTCAGGTTTTTGAATTGTGTCCAAGTTGGTGCCATGAACTGTTATCATTCGACCACCAGAGATGAAGCTCATTAAAGGTTTGATTTCGAGTATTGTTGGATCAGCCTTGAAGATGAACGGGCGACTAGCTAGAGTTCTATTGGCACCATCGATGGAGACAGTTAGCACGTTGATTGGCCGAGGGGCATGAGAGCGAGAAGTGATGCACGTGATCCGAGTGCTGGAGGCTTGTGTGATGTTCACCAAACAAGGGAGCTCATCCAAATAAGCACTGACGTGGCTCCCTATGTTCAAATGCTGGCCTGTTATTGCTAACTGGGTGCCCCCGCTAACTGGACCAATCATTGGCGTAACTCCTTCTAGTTTCACACTCTGTGAAAGAAAATAGGAAAAAATAGGAGAATTACGAATGATAAGTTGCGAACATATTGAGACAGTTTCCGGTTGGAAGTGGCTGTTATTCATCATATTGAAATTGACCCTCTGGAGGGTCCATTTTAGTATGATGAATAATAGCCACAACAAACTAACATTATTTTGCTGGATAAATCTAATGGGTTAAATTCTTCCAAAGGGTAGTTTATGTAAGATGCGTTTTGAAAATTTTCTGCTTTGTGAAAAATTTAACCCGTAAAGAGTACTGGTAATCACAATAACCCAAGTGATGGACGAGAGGTTTTCCTGTAAAAACAGGAATTCGAGGGATGGAAAAACTATAGCAGATGATGCTATTAATATGTAAAAGTCACTTCTAGGAATGTCCTGAATGCAGAGAATAAAGTCATAAGGTGTTGATGTTGAGGGCTACAATGATTCTGCGATGACTTATTAACCACTGAACATGGCGTTTTTTGTGAAGGAAGCATATGACCTCCCTGGCATGATAGCTGTCATTCCCGGAGGACATTGTTCGAGTGAGCGAGTATTATGATAGTAAAACTTCCTTTCCCTGTCAGCTTTCTTAAGGCTAACAATAGACGCTGACTATAACTTTTCAAATGGAAAATGATAAAAAGTCATGTTGGAAGAAAAATAAGTGGCATACCACATACCTTATAGCTAAAATGGACGGAAGATTCTGTTAATCCTGCATCGTTACCGACAACGACAGACGCAACTTTTTCAATATCGGATGCACCAGTTTTACAAACGATCTTGACGGAGACTTCATACTCAGTAAGGCGGCAAGGAGTTTTTCCTATGTGAATTTTTCCAGCCACATCTTGTTCTTTCAAACCAAGGTTACTTCCCTCAATAGTAACTAGAGTGCCTCCTTCCACAGGACCGCTCAGAGGTTTGATCTGCAAGACGATACAAAGTCAATTTAAGAATCTACACAGCGTAAATAATTGCAGGGGTCATCATCAATCAAGAGGTAAGCAGTACCATAGACTGATTACAATAAATTTAGATCTAGCTTTATTGGGGAATAAAAGCGGCTTGGTATGTTTTCTGACTCGATTTCACAGAATTTATAAAATAAATAGAACTTCTTCAATTAGGTGATAAAATCGTTCTTTTGCCACTTCAATACAAATAAACTTATTTAAAGGGGAAAAGCATCAAAAAGGCAAATTGGGTTTGATTAGTAGATGAAATTCAATGATGAACAGCGGTATAATTTTTTTTGCAATCAGTGGCTCCACAGAGAAGTTACATTTATTTTAAGGAGCAACAAGGAATATTTAAAAAAAACGATCAAGCGAATATGCAACTTTTGATAGAGAACATTCAAAGAAATTTTAACAACCCGGTAGTAATAATGATATCAAGCCAGAACAAAACCAGAGTGAAAAAAATGATGTGCTGTTGGGATTTCATCATAGTGTAAGATATCAATTAAGCTTAGAGGTGGTATTTAATTACCACTAAAAAATGAGAATGACTCGGCTATTTAAAGAGAGACGACAATAACATTTAAATTATCAAACAATTTGGAACATGATCATTGAAACTAACCATATCAATCCTAGGCTTGGGACACTCCTGGGCTGGTGGTTGTAGGCAAGATTCGAAGAACATACATGAGTTGATACACCAGGTACATTTATACTTGACATTCCTCGTCATGCACAATGAACAATCGGGATGTTCTCTGTGTGAACCGAGTATTTCACACTTGTACAGAGTCACTTTGATTGTATCGATGTGATGATTACGGTTCCATACCATAGTCACTGTCGCCTCATACTCACCGGTGTTAGCTTCATAAGAATACTGAAAAAAAAAAAACGGAAAAATTTCAGTAATTATCAGAGCTCTGTCAAAATTTTTTGACTAAATCATACAAACAGAGATTTTGATCCATCATGGATATTTTTGCTCACAGAAATATCCAGGTGATAATTCATTTGCTACACCTTATAAAAATAAATATACTTATGCCGGAGTTAATTTTTAGCAATCAACCAAAGCTCACAGAAACCAAAGTGTGTTTAAGGACATCTCTGTTCTTCATAAAAAACTTTTGATCGAAACATCATGTGATGTCAACTTTCCTCGATTCTGACTTTTTTGGCTTGTAGTATTTTCAAAGAAAGATTATGCTTGAATAATTTATGATCAGACTATTAATTACTTTAAAGTCCTTATAGGAAGGTTTCTTATGTGGCGGAGAGGCACATATATCATCTCTCAATAATGTGCATGACGAGCCAACGCAACTGCGCACCGCCAATCTGATGGGGAGTCGGCGACGGAGTTTAAAAGACTGCTGGGGCGTAGGCCGTTCAACCAGTCCGAAATCCAAATTTCAGAAAATAAGTCTCCAAAATTACGGCTTAGACCCATTCCTCGCGGCCTGGACCTGCTTCACTGGTCACGGCTTGGACCCCTGCTACACCCCTCAAGGCCTGGACCCATGTTCCCTTTTGCAGCCCAGGTCCACTTCTTGCATATACTTCAGCAGAGTCTATTACATCAATATATTTATATTCTTATGTCAGTAACCCTCGGCTTATCATTTGTCCTTACTAAACTTACCACCAACATATCACCCTCTCCACACTCTTTTGCTTTGATCTGAATACATACACACCCTTGCAGTTCAATACAATTTTCAGATCAGTAAAACATTATGTTAAAACATTGAAAAGTAAAGTTAAGACTTACAGTTGTTTTATCACAGACAATAAATCGATCCGTTTCGACACGAGCAGGCACCATCATTTTTGCATCCTCTATGTCAACAACACACTGAAAGCCTGAATGACCAGCCTGAGGGTGTGGCAAGTTTTCTACTTGCAAAATAATCTCCTTAGGTACACCGTTGGGGAGCAGAATGGGAGTGGGTGGTTTTCTAAATCTTGGGCAAGCATTAGCTCCATGCATCGATAGTTTCGCTGGATTCTGGAAAAAAACATTGAAGATGAATTAAATACTTTGTCGTAAGAAAATTTAGAGATAAACTTAATGGTTAGATAAACTTTCGATGGTGGCTTGATGGAGATATTTTGAATCATGGGGACTACACAAAGATAAGCCTGTAGGATTACAGGAGTCCATACATTAATCATCTGAATGATATGCTAGTTGATAGAGGATACTTTTCCTGGGCCCAATTTCATAAATCTTTGGGTCCTGACTGTTCTTTCTTCGACTATTCTTGAAGTTTGGAATGCGCCACTACACATGGTCTGAGCTATAAAATAAAGATATATGTTTGCTCCTCAAATCTTAGATAGAAAACAACTCAGACAACAGGAAGTTTGGAGATCAAGTCCGGAGCGAGATATTAACATTCTTAACCTAAATCAAATGTTAGTTAGATTATACAAATGACGTCATTTGCACGTATGCACTTTAATGCATGCTACTGTGGTAAGTTTAAAAAAAAAAATGTAAAGGAAGGATAGGGTAAAGAAAAAAATAAATATTCCTGGCTATTATTACTTACATTCACGCCGCTGATAATTGTTGATTGACAAGCTGAGGCATTGTGAGTACACTTGTTTTCGTAGACACACCAATTGCAAGCCCATTGGGACTGAACACAAGATGAGCATTTGTTGTGAGCTGAGCAGTCATAAAATGCGAAGTTCCTGCTTACAAAGTCTTTGTTAGTTTCCGAAGATCTCACTGATAAAGCAACATTTACGTGATCTTTGCCCTCTGGGATGCTGGGTCGTTTGCTAACCTCTGGTGTTGGACATTGGAGGCCAAAACTAGTGACTGATGCATCAATCGGATCCGCTGAGCCAAAAACACATCGATACTTGGCATTTGATGGTAACTCTGGAAGTGTGCGAATTGTTAGCCTCACCTGCAGGGCAAATAGAATTTTAATTAGTACAAATGATTTCAAATCCATGACATAGCTACTACCATGTATGCTATCCTTTTTTCCAAAGATGTTAGATAACATCTTGAGGATGAATTGTGCACTTTCTGCGTCTGAAAAGTGTTATTAGGATGGCTATAAAAAGGATGTTTGACACTATCATAGGAATTTGACATTATGAAGGGACGAAGTGCCTTAGAAAGTGGAATTGAATAGGATCTTGAAGTAAAAAGTTGAGAATTAAATATTTAATACTTCAAGGTTTAGTGAAGCAATTTCCAAAAATTAAAAGTATTACATATTTTCGTGCACAGAATAATTGAACCATTGAATTAAAAAACGCACTGATTTGAATTTTCTCAAATAATGTTTACAATGAGGAAATAATTATGGGTAGATGCGCCTTGTTCAGCGCATTTATTTTAACTTGATCTTTATAATATTGCCAAGAATTTGTCACTCAGCACCAAAACACACCTCCACAGGCCTACAGTGCAGTTTGTTGTACTTACAGAATAATTTTAATATTCGAAAATGGCATTATTTCATTCTCACTGGATCATGTGAAGCTCTAAGTTTACAGGGATGCAAATGCTCAAAACTGAAGGCACAGTAAAACTTTATCTCCAACTTACTCATTCTCTTTTCCTCTATAACTCTCTATACTTCTTTTCTATTACCAAAGACACATCTATCATTGCACTTAAATAGCGTCAACAAACTACAACCAAGGTATGGCTGGAGGTAATATTTGATGGCTTTCAACTGAAAGGTTCAGTTGTTAGTTTTGTCAGTAAAGTGTTTAACTTACATTAGCCATTTGGTTGATCGGAATTCGATCAGGCAAGATCTGCTCGAAGTCTATGCATTGTTGCCCAGCATCTAAGGAAAGCCACCGAGGTGAACTGTGGCTTGCTTTCTGACAAGTGCTTCGCACAGTGCATCTGAAAAATGAAATAGATTCATAATGGTTCTGTACAAGAATTTACCATAATTAATACATGCTAATGCAGATGTTCCCAAAATAATTGTGTAAACTGCAGCAGTCACACCAGTTTGAAAAGTTTTTCCTGTTTACTAAATTTAGGAACAGTGCCTACTACCCATAGGTACCGCTTTCCCACTCCATGCGGGAAGTGGATACGTGGTACTGGGTACCAGTTCCACATTCCACATACAGAGCTAATATTCAACATTTATAGCTTGGTCTCAACATAATTTTCCGCCAGAGGAAAGGTAGGCTCACTCAAAAAGGCTGTACGTTGTTGATAGCAACAACCAGTGTTCAAAACTCACAGACGCCAACGCGCCAACTGCGCCCAAGAAATCAGTCAGGGCGCCTAGAAAATGAAGGCTCAGCGCCAACGTGGCGCCTGAAAATCCCTTTTTTTTTCGTTTTCCTTAATTTTTCATTTTCCCTGTGTGGCGGCAAGCCACCCTCACTTCCAATCAGCTCAGCTCATTGGCTGTAGCTCGCTACAGTCGCAGCTACATAAGCCACGAGCTCATCACTCCTGCTAACTTAGCACCCGTCAGTCACACGGGACTCATCACCTGCACAGCACGCGGACATCATGCAGCCGGCCGGCTCACCCTTTTTCAACGGCCCTTCTTAGGTCCACCACACCACTCGTTGAGCACCTTTCATGGCTTGGTCCATAACTGTTTGGGTCTTTCAATTAATGAAAGGTTTTTTCTTAGCATCTTATTGAATTAGAATTTAATAGAAACTAACCTCCTTTCGAGAGAGCACCAGCCACAATATGGATCTTTGGATTCTAGACAGGTGGAACAGCTTGTAAATCCACTGCAATGCTCCACGTTTATTTTCAAGACCTGAAGAAAAGAAATGCAGATCATAAAAAAAATTAAATTTTAAAGGAGACTAAACTTGAAGTAAAATAAGGCCTTGAATTACCATTTTTACCTGATATTTTCTATCAATTTAGGATTTAGAGAAAGATAAAATGTGCAACTAGTTGGACCACTTCAGCTGAAAATTTTCTTGATTTTTCCAAAATTACAGGTTGAATTTTTATTGATATCTGAGAGAGAGTACTTACGCAAGATAGCTGTGGACTAGTCATACATAATGGAAATTTATACCTCTCTGTATTCTTACAGAGAAATCTTTTTTTATTAACGGACCAATTTTTCTTTTAAAGAAAAAAAAAACATGAAGTTTTAATGGATTTAATTGCTTAAGAGGGTAATGAAATTAGTGTTCCACGAGTGTCAACTGCGTATTATTACTTCTTGATTAAATAAATACAATGAGAGTAAAAGTCTCAAATGGTGTGAAAATCTAGTTTTGTGACGACTCTGACAAGTTTGTAGTCTGACATGACGCCCTGAAGTCAGAGGCTACTTAACAATCAAAGGTTCCATCAAGGAACCACAGGAGAATTTTAATATTCTCATTTCTACGGATAGGGATGCAAGTGCCTATTTTTAAGGTCCCTACTGATAACCTCAGCCCACCGGGGTAATTCGAAGCACATTCTTATTTTTAATGGGTAGAATTTCTCGGTAGTGGAATATAATGTCTTCCTTGCTTTATTTTTTTGAAGTAGGGGCTACTACATGGTAAGCTTTACATTTTGTCAATAGTTACTAGTGTATACAGTTTGATCCTAAGTTATAGTTATAATTGATCCCTGTATGAGTTAAATCTTCCCACTGATTACAAAAAATTAATTTCTTGAAAATAATTCAAATACAATGTAGGTAACACAAACCTTTGAAGTTGTCAGAACATAGAGGAATTCTTGATTAGGACTGATGGTTGTGTCTGGCAGAATGGCTTTGCCTTTGTCAAGTATCAATTCTTCGTATAGTATGCCTCTTGATGCACTTGATAATAGCACCTGGGGGTCAAAGAGAAAGATGGACGTTAGAGAAAAGTATACATTGATATGCTTTGGAATTAAGCCTCTAATCTAACTAATTTAGGGTGAAACAGAGAGCAACTGGAGGTACTGATTTTGGACATAGGTTACAGACACATTTGGACAACAAGTTTAACAGGTAGAGAAGAATTCCCTTGTTTGCAAAACTTCAAGATCAGAGACTTCACTTACTTTCTTCAAAGATCCAGTAGAGGTCCCCAAAAATGCAACTACATTGCGGCCAGTTGTTGCAACAGTGACTGAGGTTATCAGATCCGTTGGTGCATGGAATGATGCCACAGCTGTGATGGGATCAACACCTGATATTTTCAAACCAACATCACAGAAGTTCAAGATGTTTCCGGCAGTCTGCAAAAAATAGTAAGGAGAAAAGAAAAAATTAATCTATGGAGTGGATGCAGCTGTAAAATGTATGACAGTCTTTTCAAAAATTCTTTAAAAAATAAAGAGAGGGTTGCCTCTTCCTTTCTGTTTCGTGCACTGCAATGCTTGCAGACTTTGTAAGCCGCGTAAATTATCAAGCTATTTTAGATGCATTGTTTTGAGAGTTGCAAAATATTTGAACGAGGACAAAAAACTGCAAGGGTGGAAACCAAAACCTTTGGTTTTTCTAAACTTTCCTTGAGCTTTAGATCTTTGATACAGCAACATCAACATTTTTGGGAGTGAGAAAAATTGATGATTAAGAGATAAAATGGAATTAAAACTTACTCCTGTGGTTGGACAGTTGCCATCAGAGATGAGTCCTGATATGTACTCCATATTTCGATACTTGATCGTTCCATTGAAGCACATGTGTATATTTTCATTGAATTTCATTTCAATATCTTGTAAGCTGTAGACACATAGTGCTGACTGCTGTGCTGGATCGTTGGAAATGCCTCTACTAGGTGAAAAGGAAGCTACTAAGATTGGTCTTCCAGGATCAATGCCAAGGCTTTGCGCGAGTTCATCTTCAGCTGACAGAATTTTGGCATCTTGAATTAAATTGTAGTTTATTTTCTGCTCCTTGTCAGGATTTGATGAATTTCTTACAAAACATTGTAGTGTTACCTCTGTATAGCTATCATAATTCTGGTCTGTTATGCAGACTCGTGCTAGCCTTGTCGTATATCCCAGCTCTTCTTGTCCAGGTAGATGAGACTGTTTCTGAATTATCACAAAATAAGCAAAATCGCTTGAATTAAAACCGTAGACATATTTAACTAAAAAGTGGTCTCGATGTTTGACATCGATCTGAAGAAGAGACTCTTTGAAGTTACTTTCGAACACATTTAAATCATTTAGATTTCGGCTGGAGATAGCAGGAACATCATTCCGATAGTCACCACGGTTCGTAAATGTCGTTCCAACATAGAGGACATTTGATTTTTTCCACTTGTCATAATTTTCTGGGCCAATGAAAGCGTAAGTGGAGGCATTTTCATCATTGGCAGCAATACTATTAGGAACAAAGTCAGATGAGAGAGAAATATTCATACGGTATTTTACACATGCTCCTTGGGATACAGAGCCACAAGCTATCACAGACTTAGATTCAGGGTCAAGAATAAGCACTTTGTTCACATTATCGGTGGGTGTTTTGGGGATATTATCAGTACACCCGGTAGCATGACACAGAGGACTATCTTCTATGGGCCCAGTCACTTTGCATTCTTCCAAACGCAGATTTGAATTGAGTTGAATCAGCCGATTGACACCCGCAACATAAATGCGGCCCGATGCACTGTCAACAGCAAGATGATTCAACCTGGTGACGGAGCAGTTACCATGTTGTGTGGCAGAGGGGAAAGAGGCAACAATCAGGTTGGAATCATGACTACCCACTCCACGCAACAAATTCAAAAATAGCGCTGCCACTAGTACCTCTAAACCCATTCTGTGGCACCCAGTCGGCTGATACTCAGGAGTTCATCACTACTCCTGTAACAGACAAATGAAAATAACATAGAAAACTCAATTTCTTTTGACACATTTAGATCAACATCGTTGAACAGCATTGGCATGTCTGTGTATCAGATTAAATCTAGTTTCAGTTTTATGGTAAGGATCTTCATTCTAATTGAGAATTATTTTTGCATGGTACGACTGAGAAGTTGTGACAATCTATTTATTGGAAAATGTGAGAACGAAATTTCTCCAAATTATCTCAAAATTTCATGCATATCTATTAGGCACAGGTAAGTATGTAACCTGGCAATATGCAGAGTTGACGCCAAGCAAGTTTAGACACTCTTAGAGAGCAACTGAAGACCGGCTGTCCTCAGTTGGAAATTGAAACCGGTCAGTAACTTAATGAGCAAAAGTAGCAAAAGAATACAGGATTGGAAACCATAAGGCAATTCCATCTAAATTTGGTGCAAATGATCTAGTTTCAAAGATACCTGTATTAGGCATTTGAGAAGAGTACATGTCCATTTAAAGCGATGGATTGGATTTTGTCGAATTAGGTGAAAATTAAGTGATGCACATGGGCTCTGCGCAGAGGCAAAAGAAGAAAATACATTGGAGCTCTCTGAAAGTAACTAGATGTATAATACCAGTGGTCAGACAGAATATCCAATGGGCAGTTCATTTGAGAGAGATTAACTACCTTTGAAACTAGCTCCAAATATAAGTAGGTAACACTATCTATTTTTTTCTCCTTCTTTTGAACAGTTCAAGGGGGATTTCATCAACTTTTTATATTTTTTGCTAGGTATTAGAAAAGTGTAGGTGAAGAGCCTGGAATTCGGAAACTTATACTGATTTAATGAAAAACACTTGGTCCAACTTGGTTTAAAGTTAGGCATAACCATTCTCCGGAGTTCCATATTTACACAGTTACATCTTAAGTCATTATTGCAGCAAAGCTAATGTATGTTCTCTTCTGCTAAATTGATGGAAATGATGAGCTTAAGTGACCGATCGATTCACTCTGGTGGGGCAATCAATAATATATACATGAAAACACTTCATGCCACTTTGAGATGCCATCAATTTAAATTTTGAGTTTCATAGTACAGCAGCATGCAAGCTCTTTCAGTTTCAGCACTCAGTTTCTGTAAAAATACTGCAGCAGCACTTCGACATATCTCTAGAGCTATATACTCAATCATTCAGGCAACTGGTCTGACATTACCCTAGGATACATTCTGAACAGTAGTATGCAGCGGCTAAGATGTCAGATATCAGATGGGTGTGATCAGATTAAAACATTTTCATAATATTGACAAAAGATTTTGCTTGGTCAAAATGCATAATAAAGAAATGTACGAGTACCGCCGTAAGCTGTAGCTCAGAAACTCATAATGCTATCTTAAAACAGACATGATCTGTTTAATTGTATTGGGTATGAAATAGAGTAGAGTTGCAAATGAAAAAGAAGTAGAGTCCATAATTTTTCCAGCTCTAAGATAAGGGGAAAGGTATGATGAGAAAAGTTACAGAAAAGTTCTTGAAAATGGTTTTCCTTACCTACTGCCGACGGGGGCCTGATTCTGATGAGGATTCCACGCTCTAGTCTCCAGATTGGACATAAAGGCATAGCTCTTCTTTAAAATAGTAGAAATTTAAAACAACAACAAGTTTCAGTGAATGCATAGCTTGAAAAAAGTCATTAGAGTTTTGAAAAGTTAATGTTGATATAACTTGAGCACTTATCCAGTGATAATGTGTAAGATGAATTATGCTTCAAAACTGGACTATGAGTGCTTTCGGAGCACTCTTGCTAGGACCGATTGCAAAATAGTTACTTAATAACGCCATGGATAGTATCTAAAACTGATCATATGGACAAAATTATAAATTTAAAAACTGTCTCCGGGAGATTAGGTTAATGGATGGTCAAAGTAAGAATCACATCCCAAGTTAGATGGGTATTTTCGAGGAGGATCGAATGAACTGACGCAGTTGTTGAGACGGATAGGGCCAGTTATTGTAAAGGAAGAAAAACACTCGGCGGAAAAACACCATAAAGAGGCGATATTCACGTAAATTGACACTCAATAAACACTTGAAACTGACACACTGAAGCGGCACCTTTCGATACGATGGAATTCCATTCAGACTCGCGTTGAAACGTTCGTGAACTCTTTCCGACAAATCCGCTACAAATAATTTTTGGGAGTTTGAGGAGAGCAATGATGAATTTAAAGGAAACTTATCATTAATGAAAAAAAAACTTGCAGCACAAAGGATCTTCTAGGTGATAACTCTCCCGATACACAAGATGGTAAGCCTACGGAAAGGAGTTCTTGCGAGAAAGGAACACTTGTCATTCGCTTTCGTAGTCTTGGGAGGGAATGTGGGAGGGGCGCAATATTTCAAAACAATGTAATTGTTGTTTAATCCTCAAAATGCCTGCAGATAATAAGAATATTTTTTGTGATAGCGATGATGAAAGACATTTTTGAGCAAGAAAACGAGACAATTTTTACAATTACTCAAGAATTTTTGGGGATTTTTCATCAATAATTTACGCCGTCAAGTTGGCATACAGTAAAATGTATTCAGGGTTGTAATGTTGTCATTGTCAAAATTACACCAAAAGAAAAATCGGTCAAGCATTCCTGAGTTAGATGGTTACTCAAAACGTCGTAAATCCTTTGATTTGGATTAAAAAGTCATTTTACAGCTTCAGTACGAGAATTCAATCGATAGAGGAATTTACCATGGGAGCTTTTTCATCTGGCGTTCATTTTTCAGAATTCGATATAGAAAGAATATCTCAGTGAAACTATTTAGGAGTGTGTGCCATCACTGAAGACACATTCCGGCAGCGCCATTTCCGGTTTTGGATTTAAAAGGAAATGATGGAAAGTCACTTTAATTTTATTTTAATGAGTCATGTAGGGAATGTAAAAAAGAAGAAAATAACCAGCACGATAGTACGTGCGAAAATTAATTTAATTATAAAAAGGCTACACCGCCGTGGTTATCGATCTCATCAATACTTTATACCAGCTTTAAGTTGAGGACTGACTGTGAAGGGAGGGGGAGGGTGGTTTCGTATCATTCTATACCTAAATTATTAACTAAGTTAATTTTTATCCGTTTCTTTGCTTTAGGACACGGACAGGGACACAGTTGGAAGTAAGTTCTCGTCACTAATAAGTGAGGGGGTCAAGAAACTTCTGCAAGCCAATTGTTGAAAATTCAAATCAGTTCAATGAGACATCTTGCATGCAAAAAGGTCTATTGCATGTTTCAGATAAGGATAATGTCTTATCTTGTCGTATATATACAAAGAGTCAATAATTGGGAAGAATCAAGTAGATATATTGTTCATGGGGTCTACAATATTTTTTTGTAAAATGAAGTAGGTACTTAGGTACCTGTGTATTTCAATGGGAGTTTTTTCCCCCTTATATGCTATTTATAGTCCTTTTTATCTTCCAGTGGGTTCTTCAAACTTTCCTCTTTTGTTCAGACCGTCAAAAATTAAGAAAAAACCCTTCGAAATATGGTTTGCAACGTTCCAAACTCCTTTGTCATGAATAGTTTTGGCTAATGGTTTGGGAATCAGGAAATTTCATACAATTCTTCTCTCTGAAACGATAAATGTTCCAGTGTAAAATTCTTGAGTTTACTTTCGAAAAATCAAAGCAACCAAAATTCCGAGACAGCAATCACGATACCTACAAGATTTGCTGGCTTCACTCTAAGATTCAGGGACTTCCTTGAGTCAAAGCTTGCACCAGGGGCAAGGAGATTTTTCGATTATACTCTATTTTTTTATAGGCAAAAAATGAAAAGGCTGAACAGAAAAGTGCGCCGATTTTTTAAATTTTTGGCTCAACTTGTGTTTTTGACCTATGTGCAAAAATGAGGAAAATTTGAAGCTGTTATGAATAATTTTTCCTTTAAGAACTTTCTGCACTCATCTATTCCTCTGCAACATTGTAAATTAATCTGTCACTTCAATATTGGCTTTGAAATCTTGATCATTTTTGAGAGTTAAATTATTTAAATTTGATACGACAAAATATTTTTAGCTGCATAGGATTCTAGGTAGGGTAAAAATTGGAGATGCACACAATAGTTTCTCCCCTGGTGTAGAAAATGATTCAACATGCCTACTGACGTTCTTCCCCTTTTTTGAACTGGGCAATGAATGAAGTGAATGTGTGCAGTTGCAAGGGGAGGGGGGAAGTAATTAATGGGGAGTTTGACCTTTCCAGAGCAAATCCTGTCAGCATGTTTCTTAAAATTGTTTCCATCTGCCCACCTAAAAGAATTTAGCTCTCCCTGACTTGAGAGTATCAGACATGAAAATCTGGAGAGGGAAGTATGGCCATTCATTTTGTTCCTGTCCAGAAAAAATGCACCTCTATGAATACTTGAAGACCACTCTCATGCCATACTCTGCTTTTAGATGACTGCTTAACTATCATTACGTACGATGAAATAATAAAGAAACTTGTAGGTGTGCCAGTATGGCAGAACCAGCTGGTTTCGGACATTGGCAGTGAAGGTAGCTCTGCTCCACTTCCTTGAGCAGCAACGCCATGACGCTATTCAAGGTTTAGAATTGTTTCTATACGTATGGTGAGCGAACAAATGTCTTGGTGTCCTGTGTTTTCAGTAACAGCTGCCAATGCTGTGATGAATTTCATATATTCATCATACATGCTCGACATTCTCAAAATACTGACAGTGAATGGAAACAGGGGTTGATAGTTTTCGTGCGACAGAAAATTTCTTTGGAAGAAAGAGAGAATATTCAGAGTAAACAGTTGTCTTTCTTGGTTGGGATGGCAATGATCCATAAAATGCACAAGTTTGAACTTCATTTTTAATTTTTGCATTTCATACCAGACTCAATTTTCTGTTACTTGATAGTAATGAAAACCTAGACAGCTTACTTTCTTTCAAACTAATGCTGTAATGTCTTCCTCCTAAAAGTTCATTCAAATTCACTGAACAAGGAAGAGGGAAGCTTCCTTACGACAGAAAATTGAAATAAATAAATAAATAAAAAGTCTCTGTATTGTTCATGGATTTCTTGCCACAGGAGACACAGCTGCCCCAGAAGAAAATGTTTAAAGCAATGTGCATTTGAATCTTACAGAGATTAACAAAATGTGACATGCCTTTCAAATTTTCAAAGTAATGCTTTTTTTTGGATTTTCGGGAGAATGAAGAAAAATTTGACTTTGTAAAATAATGATCAATTTAATATCAATGCTTCTATAATCGAGAATTATAATATACATTTAATAACAAAAAATAACAATCCGAAATTCTAACTGAATTCTTGACTTACTAACATGAATGATTTACCGAATTATCTAATAACCAACGACATTATGGATAAATCAACTATGTACTCATGAAAAAATAAATAAAAAATAGAATGAAAATAATAATAAAAATATTAATATTAATAAAATAATAAATAGATGTCCAGAGGTAGACTAATTAGAGAAGTACTATATGATAACCCATAATCCCATTTATACTAACACGTTTTTACAAGTTATATACACAGAACAACAAAATTGAAAGAGGGAAAAGAGAAGCAGTTTAAACAGAAAGAAATTACGTTGAGATGTTAAAAAAAAAAAAAATAAATAAATAAATAAAAAAAAACAAGTATATTTACAAAGAAAAGTTTACGAACTTGAATAATTGTTATTGGATACAGATCAAAATGTTTGGATTTTGATTGACAAGAATTTCGTTGTCTACTGTTAAATTTTCAGGGGAAAGAGAAAGACAAACCACTGTTTGGTTACTGCTGAGTTAACAGGTTTGGAATCATCGTTGATGAGAAAATAATTTTGCATTCCAACGAATGAACAGGAGTCCTCAGTAATAATGCTAGGACAATGACACAATCAGCTCACCAAGTACTTTATTAAGTAAGTAAAGGGGAAAATACCATAAATATTCCTGGAGATTTTTCCCCTATCATGAGCTGATCAACAGTACATGATTTGAGAAGGTAAGTCGATGCTACCCTGACGTAAGCGCATATCTCAATTTCCATTAGAACCCTGTTGTGCATATAACATCATGCTTCTTGGGGCTTATGTAAAATTAAAGATACACCCTTGCGTCAGAGGAGCAAGGAATCGTGAAAAGAAGCGTTTTTTAGTAGGCAATTGGCTCATTGAGTTAGGAGTAACATTTTGTAACTAAAGGACTTTAAGAGTTGAGTGATAGTTGTGATCACTTTTAAAAGTTCAGTTATTAAAAAGATATTTTATCTTATTTCTTCACTTTACAGAGGCAGAATCTAGTAAAAGTGTCCTTTCGCGGTGCTTGCTAATTACAGGGCACTTGCTTTATTTGTCAGAGAGGCACACTGATCTTTGTTGGAATGATGAATATATAAGTTATTTTTCACAGTGTTTTTGAAAATCAATTGCAGTTCATTTCTAGCAAACCTGAAATTAAATCTATCGATGAAAGTATGAGGACAGCTGACTCTATTGAGTGATCGTAGACTCATTTGAAAGAAATTACTCATCAAGAAGTACTAATTTTAAACTTTCTCTTTCCTCCTGTTGGAGTGACACTGATCATAGATCATAATTTAATGGAATGAAATTAAGTAAAAAGTGGAAACCTAAAAAAAGACTCTAACTTTCCTGAACACAGATGATACAACACAGCCATGAAATGCATCGGAAAGATGGTCAAGTTTCCAAGAGCTAAAAATCAATCCTGTGAGTATGCTCGGGAAAAGTAGGAATGACTTTGAAATAATGATTAGAGCTAATTAAGTACACAGAGCCAAAGAAGATTCAAAGCAGTTATCGCAATAATCATCTACGATGGACTAGATCAAACTTAAGTAAATTATTCCTTTGCGGAAATAAATAATAAGTAAACAACTAGAGCATGTCAGAAAAAGAACAGTTCTACTGATTTCATTGATATCAGTCCAACTTAATTATTCTTATGCTGTTGAGTTGAGCAAACTACATGTAAATCTGCCTTCTGACAACCTCTTTTTCACAAGAAAATAGAGTGGGAAACATTTTGGAATATAGCATCTAGCAGTCTAGCTATTCAGCCAGGATTAAGTAGAAAATAAAATATATTTCCCTCAGAGGATAAGGCAAAACTTTGGGCATGAGCCTTTGATAAAACATAGGGCGAAAATATGATGTGAAACATAGAATGAGATTAAGTACATTCGGCCTTGTCTCCACGAGACGTTTTCCCATGATTTGTTGATGAAAAAAGTTGCACCAACTAGTGGCAAAAAATATGGACTCGCTCAATACTGATGGTTGCCTTAAGAATGACTGAGAGAAAGAGAGGAGGCGAAAACAAACTGTGTGTAATTTTGTTGTTCACTTGATTGTTTGTTTCTGTTTACATTTGACAGGCTTTACTGATCATTTTACTTTACAGTGTCCTCTACCTTTGTTTCAAATAATTAGTTTAATTGTTGATTGTGTTCTGTCACAAGAACGTGAGAGCCCCATATTGTGGAGATAGTAATGGTGAAATAAACGGGGAGGTTTTCCCCGTGCGTATTGACAAATCTCCTGAAAACTACTCGTGGAAAAAAAGGCCTAAATCAGATGATACATACTGAAAAAATGACGATTTAAGGAGAGAAACAGTTTGGTCTCCTGAAAAAGTCAACCATTTTAAGAAAAGATGGAGAGCCTCCGAAACCCTAATGATTATTTAGCAGATTGTTGGAGAACTTGTTAAGATAACCAGATCTAGTAAAATACCTTGTTTGACGTAATGAAAATACGCACAACTTTCTTCATGTAACTAAAATTTATTGAAGCGAGAGAGATTTACACTCATTTCATCACAACAATATTGAACTAGATGTTTCCCAAAGTTGTTTTATCAATTTAAAATAACTTTATAGATTGTTTCTAGAACAGTGCGATAGCTGGAAAGAAGAGGAGTTTCCAAGAGTTCCAAGACACTAGGGGTACTGAATTAGCAAATACAATGCTGGCCATTGTCCCAGGTGTCTTAAAATTGAAGGACTAATGCTTCTCAGGTCATTCAGCAAAGGATACAATGAAAAAATACGGACTTAATGCAGGTGCAATTGGGGGTACAGTAAAATCTGTTTGAAAAATATTCCTTTCAGGCCTTTTCCTACTTTTATTTGTAATCCTTTTTTACATAATCTTTGGTATATAAATCCTACAAACAAAAGAAATGCCATTATTAACTAGTATGGAGACAACTAAGAAGTAAAACCATGTGCACTGAAAAGAGGAAATCTCAAGGAGCATGTTAGCTGTGAAGGTTAAGTGCACAATTTGTAACGAAGTCCCGGCAAACCATTCATCAATGCAGTGAAAATCAGAAATGACAAAATTACAACTGAAAATGTATTTTCTTTGCGCAGGTAAAAATTTGAATGGAAAAAGGGAAAGAAAGGCTAACTAGCATTTTAAGGTGCTGAGCTCTTGAGACTTGAAATGTTAATTCAACAATTGTTGAGAATTCATGGTGTCATACTCTTCAATTGAGATAGCTTAGTATTGGGTTGAACATATGTTACTTTGATTACATCTGCTTTCAGTGATCAGCCGGACTAGATGGGTATGTGGCTTATTTTCACTTCAAATTACTATGCAATAAAAGCAGGCAAATTTCTTGAGAAATCATTATCTCCAGAGAACATGGTTTTACAGGTTGGTTGACAGTGATTTTCGATCACAAAATCTGTCCAATTAGGTACGCTAGATCGACTTTCCTTCCATTTGTGCTCTCATGGCATCAATATGAGGAAACTCACCCCTGAGAAAAATTCTTGATCTAGGTCAATGGTTTTGCTAACTTTTTATCGATTTGAATTTTTGACTTTAGAATTATCCAACCATGGTTTGGGTCAATTCCAATATTTGAAAGGTCATAACTATATTAAATCTAAACAAAAATTGAGTATAAAACAAACAAACAAAAATATAGAATGAAATTGTAGATAATAATAAAAATATAATAAGTCAATGAACAAATGGATAAATAAATAAATAAAAAAAGAGGAGGAAAAACAAACTAAGAAAGGATTTGGACGGTTCATAACACTCACTCATTGACAAAGCCTAATTACATCAAAATTCATCTTTTGGAAAGAAAAATATTTTAATGGCTTTATTATAAATACTTTAAGGGAGAGAAAAAATGGGGGAGGAGTAAGGATGACTAAATCGAGGAAAATAATTTGAAAGTGGGGAGGGTGTTTCATTGTCATGAGAAGCCAATTTACAAACCAAGAAAACTCAAGTGTGAGATATTATGCATTCAGCAAAAATAAATACCTATGTACTTATTCAATTTTCTTCAATTCTGAATAAAAAAGGGAGGGGAAGGCTAAAAAAAATAAAATAAAATAATTAAATAAATAAACAAGGAAAAACATAAAAATAAACATAATAACTTCCTACTCCTTATCGCAATGAATGACTTGGAAATGATCTGTACAAGAATAAAATAAAATTCAATAAATAAAATAATAAACTATATATGATACAGACATGTTGAAACAAAATCAAACCAACAGAATAAATGAATATTACAACTAATAACTTTGAGCAAATTTATTCACAATTAAAAAATAGATGCACTAGATATTCATATATTTACTGTTGAATATATAAAGTGGTAGTATGTAACAGACTTTCTTTGGAAACCTCTCAGTTTTGTAGGCAGACTTTGGAATGGGCATTGAAACCGTTTTACTGCAATTAGCAAAAATATATTCTCTAAAAAAAAAGAAAAAAAGAAAAAAAGAGGAGACTTTTGTTGGCTATTACAGTTTAAAATGGTATTATGCTTTGAAGTTTATCCGATCCATTTCTCCACACGAACATATTTCTAAACAAATATAACCATTCCTCCTTGAAATAGCTATTTCCAACAAACAAGTTTCATGATGAACCAAAAGATTGAAACATGGACTAGCTTGGTAACTTAACTATGGAGTAACAGTGAGCATTTTGGTGACAGATATGAGAAGAAGTAAGTGAAAATTTATCTTCTGTAGCAACAGTAAAATTTTTATGGAGCATACAATAAAAAAAAGTTTTAGCTGCTTAAAATTCTGGAGAAAAAAGTTAATACCTGAACATTTAAGAGAATGAACTTTAGGTTGTCACTTTTCTCACGATAGTCGAAGTGCTTTGGGATGGGGAAATCGTACAAAACAGAGCGGTTGGTGAATGTTAAGCAGCAAAGCGAAGAAGGCATAAATGAAAAAAAGAGGAAATAAAGTAACAAAAAATAAATAAATAAGAGTAATGGTTTCTGAGCATTTGAAAATGACAAAATTAGATTAAAACTCTGATCCCCAGGGAACAAAGAAAAAATATTTTGCAAATTGTAACAAAAGAGACATAGCCAGGATATCTACAGACTTGGCAGGCAATAATTCCCGGACTTTTCCAGTTTTTCTCAGAAGAAAATTATCAACATTTCCTGGCTTTCAAAAATCAATAATTCCCTTGTGTTGAGCTGAACATTAAATATTTTTTACCTTAATTTCACTGCAAATGACAGAAACAGGAGAGCCTTTTTGTCTTTGGGTATTAATTATTTAATTGACTAAAATTGCAATTTTTTGTTAAATATTATTCTCTACTCAATGTTTAGAGTGTATCTCACAATCAGAGTGATAAACCCCAAACCAGACTAAGATTCATGATCATTTAGATTGTGTGAACAGCAGTGATATTTTTCTTGATTAAAAGTTTCAGAATTTTTCAAATTTCTAGTCTTTTTCATAAGATACTCTGACTTTTTCTTGATCTCCCTGACAATTCCTGGTTTTCCAGAACTGCAGACACCCTGCGTCTCTCTTGAACTGAATAAGCGGTTAACTTATTTTTTGGTTTACTCTTAATGTTGACAACACAATATGTATGAACTGAAATACAATGTCAAAGACATTTTTTTAGATGGAAATATCCAAGTTAAGATCTTTGCTGAGAAAGATTGTAACAAGCGATGAAGACAAACAAATTAAACAAAGTTTTTTCAGGTATATATGGAACACTTGCAACAGCTATTTTGAAAACTTTTAAACTTGGATGTTTCCTTTGAGCTTGGAAACATGGAGGCTAGACCTGGGAGTCAGAAAATTAGAAGTGAAACATTAGGCTGATATGAGCATAAATAAAAGCACTGTTTATCGCGTATTTATACAACCAGATTTTTCGTTACTTGTTCGTTACTAAGTTGATTTCACAGAGCAATTAAGTTTGAGCAAATCTCAGCAAGAAACATTTTGAACAAGTAAGTTAAAAATACCCATCAACAAATATAAATTTAAGATACACTCAAGCTGCAAATCTAAACTGAGGGAGTTACGTGACGTCTTTCCCGATAGAGTGGGTCCATGTTCACCACATTATCAATGATATTTTAATTCTGAATGCAGCATAAAGTCTGGGATACAATTTAAAAAATCAAAATATTCCTTTACAATATATTGCATATTTAACAGGTACGTGTGAGTTCTCATAAACCAACTAACTGTTCTCGAAACCGAACTCATCAGTACGTGAGAAACAACTGAGATATTTCCAAGACTTTAAGTGCAGCTTCATTGGCTCAGTGTAATACATTATAGCTTTTTTAGCAACTAAGTAGAGAGAAATCACGGCTCATAAGAGCTGGAAAATAACTAGAATAAATAGTTAATATCAATAACTAAAACAATAAACACAAAAAGAGAAAATCTTTCAAAAATAAAATCTCAAATTTGGACGGAAACAAAGGATCACATAAGTCCTGTACATTCACTCATCTAATTTTATCTTAAAAACAAAATGCATGATGAGGAAATTAAACGGAATAACAGAGGAAAAATAGAAATGAAAAATGGAATGAGGAAAGAAGAACAATAAGATGATCATAAGCCATGGAGTAATATCTTCACAAACATGAAATGAAAAACCACAGAAAAATGGCAACTCCAATTTAGAGTTATCCACTTATAAATTAAATCTTGAGTTCTACTCGCTTGTTCATGTTTGAAAAAGGAACTCTTTGGAATACTCATACGAAGTACAATCATCTTGCTCATCAGTGTGATCACTATCTTAATGGACAGACTGTATTTTGTTTAATTGAAGTTCTTTTTGAAGTACTAAATAATGGAAATTTAGACTTACAGGAGAAATGGTTGAGGCTTATATAGAGCAAGATGAGAAGCTACAATTGTTGTCGTTGTATATTTTCAATTTTTTTTAAGCATCAAATTTGACTTGCACCTGAGTTTGATGGATGTAGCCTTAAAAATTCTGGTAAATTATTAAGGGGAAAATTACAACCTAAACAGAAATAAAAACCATATCACGCAACTGTCCAATCACTGAGAATAACAACTGTCAACGAGTAACATACAACACATAAATAACATTATCATATAAGTAAAACTGAAGTTGAGAGACTTCATTATAATTAAAATTTTACTAGAAAAACATTGTTCTACACACTATGAATGAGCTTCGAATCCCAAATATGAATATAATTCTCTAACTGATTGAGACACGACAGAGATATATTGTCAAAAAGACTGTTCTGAGCATCCAACTAGACGTGCTCAACATAATACATTTGTTAAATTAGAAAATTGAACGAGGCAATTTTTGACTCCACAGTGAAATAGCTTTGTTTCCTCAGTCATGACTGCAAAGACCAATATTTGGTACTACTGAATTTTTTCGGGCATGCTTATTTACAGGCATGTAATTTTAGAATCTCTTTTGGCGAAAAATTTACATCCTCTGACTGACACTTTCGGTGTCACTATAACAAAGCCAAAATTACAAATTAATCTCTAAAAGTCATTAAATGTTCATCATTTGGAATGTCATATTGCGTGAGTGACCTTCACTTACAGCTGTCTATAATTCTATGAAAATATTTGAATGGAATACATGCATTGAAAATTAAAAAAACGAGACAAGGATGGATCCTGAAAGAAAATTAAGAATTTGATTGGTGTCACTCATTAATCAAGTTGTATAACTTTCTTTCCCCTTTGCGAAGCATCAAACCCTTTTCAGCACGAGATAGCGAGCAGAGAAGAATTAATAATATTGTTTTTTGGAAAGTGTAGGCATTAAAACTGAATAAAATAGGAATGGTACCTGACTGAGACATTACACTGCTGTCTTAACCCAAAGGGTCTGATAACCTTGTACATATTTCAAGATGAGAATTTGTATGAAAGGCCACTTATGAAAGCTCTTTGAAAAGGCACCAATATTTCTTATAATTCAACTTCAAAATAGCAACTTCATGGAATCAAGATAAAATGCCCTGAAATAATATCTTTAAGTATTCTGAAGAAAGAAAAGGGGAAGAAAAAAAAACCTATGGTGTGTTAGAGAGAAACACAGATAAACAACTTGAGAGAAACAAATTATACTAAGAAGATTGTACAAACAGATGGAATGTGAGCACAGCCCTAATAAGATAATAAGTTAGGAGATCAAAAAAAAAAGGAAAAAAAAATAATAATAATGCAAACATTTAGATGATAACAAAATCATTTAAAATTAAAATTAAGTAATTTGTGGAGCCATTCAAGTTTCTGTTTTCAGAGAGAAACGAGTAAATTTCCTGAAAAAACCAGAAATCCTTCCAGTTGGAGCTGAAGATGAGAGAAAAAATGATAACAATGAAACATACCAAAAGTGAGTTACAGTTTTATAAACTAATATTAGCTTTTCCATTTGTTTTATTTTTATTAAAAATTGTTATGGTTAATTAATTAAAAAAGAGAATATTTACATAAAATACGTTTATATAAATGTTATCTTTTAGACATTAAAACAGTATTGAAAATTGAGACATTTTTGGTAAGGACATCAAATTTAACAACAATGGTATGCAATTGTAGCAGCGAGAAATAACCAAAAGACTCTGAAACTTCCAAATTTTTCTTATTTTGACATGATCAACAGCATATTTACAAAAGTAATTCTATATCAGCCACTCCCAGAAAATAAAAATTTGAGGTTAAACTAGGTCCAAATGCTTGAATTACAGTTTTTTAGACAATTTAATTTTTACGGATTAGGTACTTGAAAATCTTGAATCGTTAATTTGATTTTGGATATAAAGGTAGCTGTTCACTGTTAGAATTTCTTTTGTAACTATAAGAGAAAGAAAAACATTGTTAATATCATGCGGAAGGAAATGGAGAATGACGATCTAAAAACCTCACAATTATAATACTGTTTTAAAATTGACCATCCTCACTATTTAAATAATTCATAAATCATTTATTTCATTTTGACAAGGCAAGTTCATACTGAAAAATAAATAAGTATAATTGAGGACACAAGAACAAAGAATGAAACTTACAGTTACGAAAATTCAGACCTTTTGGGTTTTTTCCAACTCAAGTTGCAATTAACAGGGCTACAATTTTCAGTAAATGTAAGAAATATTCCCTTGACTTGCGTAGAATTTTTCCCGATTTCATAGAAATACTTCTTAATTTCCTGTAGTTAAGTACCCCATTGCACTAACAACTGAATGAGAGAGAAGAGACTCAGCCTACAACTAAGAAATTGGTTACTATGTTGTCACAACAATAGTACTTAATCTGATTTTCGAACAAGATTATTAAATTATGCAGTTCTTCTTGAGAACAGATGAACATTAAGTCCAGCAACAAAAAGTTATAAATATTGACAAATTTGAAGTTTGAACTCTGAATTCAAAATAAAATAACAAAACTTAAAAATGTATTCAAAATAAAATTTCACTGTTCCGACTCTAAGACTCAAGCTGAACCTTTGATTGGAGATTTGAGTAAACTGAAAAATCAACAAGACTAATTTCAGCATACTTCAATTCTCCGAATATTTGTGGCTCTTCTCGTTGTTTGTGAATGGGCACTTAGCAAATGAGTAGATCCCCTGCTTAACTTTAGACAAAAATCTGAAACTTTGAGCCTGTAAAAAAATTAGACTGTGTAAAAGGAATAACAATAAGACACTTTAAAATTGCTACTTGTAAGGCACAGATTAGAGAATCAGAAAAATAAGGCATTTAAAAAGCACTTGATTCGTAACGCAGGTTGAAGTTACAAGAAGTTATCAATAATACGAATTTGAACTTCTGAGGCTTTAATGTACTTCTGAATCATCACATATGAAAGGCACCCATTAGAGGGGGAAGTGGCTAAAAAGTCAATCAGATTTTTAACCATGCAATAGATGATCAAAACAACTGATGCAGATAGAGACCTATAAACACTCGGATTAGTGGTCTTCTTCTCCGTCCTTTCAGAAGGTTTTATGAATGTATTCTCCTCTCAGCATAGCTTGGCAAATATGTGTTGTTGATGAATAATATTTGGTGTGTAATAAAAAAAAATAAATTATTTGGGTCCTTTTTCAAAACAAAATTTTGGATGAAAAATTAACAGCCAAAGGTACTTTGTCAAGCAAGGACCTAATAAATTATCATATTAAAAAATGGTCCTAAGATTTTTCCCATTTTAAGACCTTGTAAAAGCACCTTGCAGTGAAAGTTGTACACCAACAAGACATTTTCGTTAGTTAGGTAGATCAAAAATCGTTAACTTCCAAACTATGCAGAAAAAAGTAAAACCTCTGAAAAAATAGAGAAACAAATCAGCAATCAAAGACAATTAAGTTCAGCTGCTTTGAAACTATCAGTAATGCTTGGGAAAAAAGAATGCTAGGCTTCATGGCAAAAATTTTTAGTAATAATTGAATAAATGAAAGTACCGGACAGATTCAAATGAGAAAAATGATAAGATTTAACTGATAACGAAGAGGATTTACTTCACTGATTAGCAAAATGGCGAAATTTGATAGATGCTTTGGAACGGAAGGTAGACGGGAGAAGGAGTAATTGAAGTTTTTGAACAAAATTGCAGAAAACAGCTTTGCTGGTGAGGGGAGGCACACATTCTGTTTGTCATCTTCCACACAAAGGAACGTATCTCATCTGCGATTTTTGAGCATTTCAACAAACATTTCATTTTTCCACAAGAAAACCGTCGCCAAAATAATTAGTCAGAAATTTTCAGAGTTTTTTCTCCTCAGGGAAAGAAACATCACTGGAGGTTCCAAAAAAAAAATCAAGTGATGGTTCTCCTATGCACAAATAAAATGTAAGTAAGAAAAACTGAAACGGCAATCTAGAAACGTGACTTTGTGCGGAAGACAGCGATTTTAATGCTCTACCTATACTTCATAAGTAAAACGCAAAAAAAGTTTTAAACAGCAGTATATAATTATGCAAGTTACAGATATGAGTCTTTACTTGAGTGACTTTTTTCCCTTTTTGTCTTCATTTTGTATCTTCATTCAGGCTTTCCATACATCAATTATTAAGAATTTCAATTTTTCTAATTGTAAAAAAAAGAATTCGTTAAATTGAGATAATTAATTCTTCATATTCATAAAACAAAATATTGAAATAGAATAGAATTAGTTGCTATGAAAGAATGACAATTTTTGAGTATAATAAAATAGAAACTTCATGGAGGAAAAAAGATGAGCACCTACATAACAAATTCTGATCAATTTAGAGTTTATCGGGAGCAACTGATGTAAAATATTTCAGCGTACTTGGTAGTCCTTCAAACATTAGAAAAGAAAAACAGAGACTGAAGATTATTATGCCGTTATAGATGTCTGCATACAGGTAAAAATGAAAATGTAGCAAGATGATGATATGATATTTGAATAGGCTCTCTCTGTATGCTCACAACTGCTCAGTCAAAACCATTTTGGAAACACTATATTGATCAAAAGTTGGTCACTTTCTATCTTCCTTTATCTAATGTCTCATTATACGATACAACTAAATTGTACCTAAATTGTTCATCCATTCTTAGGTCTAGCAGCCAATTCTTGTTAATCTGATTGAAAAAAAGCAATTGATCATCTTTGTTAAAATGTAGGAACGTAACGTTTAAACATATATGAAAAAGTGACGTTGATGTGACTGATAAAAAAGTTGAAAATCATAACAATTGTGTATTATAAAAGGCGAATGAGATAAGAACTTCCAGTATGAGAAAAAAGGGGAAGTTGCCCAACCCATTAAAGTGCATAATTATATACAACAGTTTCTTTGCCGCAACATAGGATTCAACTTCACTGCTGCGCTGAAGAAAAATGCTGTGAGAACATTCGAGAGTTGCCGCCGAAAAAATGTTTAAATTTCAACAGTGTTACGAATATTCCTTCTTTAAATTTTCAGATAATTTCAATCAGACTACAATTAAAATTCATGTTTTATGGGTGGAAATTTGGTAATGTCTGAAGACTCATATGGCATTCATTCCTACTGCAGCAGTTCATTTTCACCAACTACAGTTGAATCACCTCAAATCAGCAACTGCAAAATTTTCAGATTCTGCTCAAGAGTTACATTCAGATTTTCAGATGCCTGATGTAAGCTCATGGATCTATTTGAATTTAATCTCTTGGATGGTCTTTCCTGACAAATCAGCAGAAATAAAACTTGAATCTATAGAAATCATCTAAATATCTTCAAGTGGAATTTTGTCCCAAAATTTCCATTTCACAATTATTTTTAGTTTCATACGTTGTATTTTCTACACAAAAGGGGCAACAATGGGCGATAAAACGCCACCATCACTCGTTGGTTGAAGCTGTGTATTTCTTCACATTATAGACATTTCTCAATTTCAAGCTGCTTCTTACTTGGGCCAAACATTTGATTGCTCATTTGCTGATTAACTCAGTGAAGTATATCCCCTTTTCGTTCTTTTCTTATGATAACCGTTCAGAAAATTCAAAATATGCGAGAAAAATGCAGCGTTTCTTGCTTGAAAAAAAAATAGCAAGAGAGGAGGAGAAAAGTTTTTAGAAAATCTTGACAGACTATACTAAATATGTGATGTTTCAGCTAAGTTTCAAGGATTCAAAAACCTTTGGAATCTAAGTTCCTATAGCATGAAGGCAGAGCTAAGAACTATGCAATAAGGATTCTGGATGGAGTAATTTGTCTAAAGAAAAACAGAAGGAGGAAAATAAGAAGGAAATCTATGAAAGGCCTATAGTCATTGATGAGACTTACTGAGCAAATGTGAGTTGAATTCATAAACATTGCAACATTGCTCACCACAGATGTTACATTTCCATGGGTTAGCATCTGAATGACAGCCTTTGTGCAGAAAGTAAAGTGTTTGGTCTGGAAAGCCGATACCGCAGAATAAACATTGCAGATTCCTGCAGCGCCACATGACTGATTCCTGAGGTGGCGGCGTCTGATCATTGCTGAACCTGGCCTGTGAGGATGATGTTGGAGAATTTTCTTGTCGTAGCCGAGCTGAAACTCCTCGTCTTTTCAGGTCTTCGCGAAGTAACGACTTTAAGGGTGAGACCTTGATGAAAGACGACAAGCTATTGGTGGAAGTGGCTGACTGCAGACGCACAACGGTTGTTTCTGAAGTTCTCGTTGTGCTTAAGTTGACGGGTCCGTTGAGACGGGACTTTTCATCATCGAGCTCCTGTTTAATCGGAATTAAAGATACAGAAGGCGTAATTGGACTTACTTCGGGATCAGCTCTTACACTCAAACTGCTGCTGACTGGTGTGTTGGAATTGGAATCTGCTGATTGTGGTGAGCTAGGACAGTCTGCACTGGTTCCTGTGGGCGGTGTTTCGCCATTGACTTGAGGAGTTGAATCACTTCCAGAACTAATTGAGGTTAAACTAGTATTCTGGTCTCTGGCCTGGAGAACAAAAACAATAAAATGAAGCACTGAATCAAGAAGAAAAGTTTATTTTACGATTTGAATAATAAATAAGAAACTTATAAACTATTGCGGGGGATGAAAATATTTACACTTAAGAGTAGGATAGGTGACTTGGGCTTTGGGCTGTGTTAAAAGCAACCTATTTAAAAGAGTTCATTCCAATAACCAATCTTGATCCTCCTCTTTGAGCATTCAGTCATCAGGCTGATTTCTTGGTGCTTGTAAGAATTCTACTTGATTAAAAATGATGATGCTTTCCCTTTAATTTTCATGAATATTCCCAAGGCCTGATATATTATTTATTCATTTCAGTTTAGCGCTTTTTTTCTTTGAAAAGGTTCCTCTACTCGATACTTTCTTTGATTCAATAAAAACAATCACAAATAGCTGAAACACAAAAAGTAATCAGAATATGTACTAAAAATAGATAAAATATCAAGGTACTCTAACATACATACAAAATATCGGAGGCAGGATTGTGAAAAAGATCTGGAAATATGATCATCTGACGAAATAATACATTTTTATCTCTGTGCTTATTTGCAATATCTAACGAGTCACAGAAACCAATTAAATTTATGCCTCTATATCATCAATATTGCTGCAGAGAATAAGTAGACTTTCCTTTTGCTTGTAACTAAGTCTCCAGAAACGGATTAAGTAAGCTGTTAATTCTTCTTTTTTTTTTAAATGCATGTGCAACGCCCTCATTAATTATGTACATCCGCTGAATCTCTCTCTCTCTTCCTTTCTTTCCTGTGCTAATTATAAAATATACGATAGTCCAAGAATATGAAAGAAAAGGCTCCCTCTATGTTGGCGTTGTTATGGTGTAAAAGTATTACAGAGTTCAACTTTTGCTTATCCTGTAAGTGTTTAAGAGGAAGACAATGAGCAATGTCAGTATCACTTACTGCATTGTGACTTGAGAGGTAGATCTTACCATACTGATAAGCAGAATTAAAAAATGCATACTTACTTCTACTTGAAACATTGCAGATCTGTGCTCGGATCTCATATTTTTAAAAGACAAATGACCAATTGTTTTTCTTTAAATTTTCTTCACTTCTCTATTTTAAACTCCCATGGTAAAACTGCATTTCCTTAAATCTCTAGCTTTGTTAATTGCTGTAGTTACTTGAAAATGTCTGAAGTTTTGTGCATCACATGGTGTCAGTGAGTTCACTGATTTTTAGCAGTTAATTTCTTGATAAAACAAGGATTTCTTCCCTTGTCCCCTTGAATCATCTTGAAAATATAATTGTTTCCTTCGAGTTTCCAAGCAAAATTATTGATTACTTCATCTATTAATTCCATAATGTTGAGTCAATGCTGACTACCAAATTCAAAACAAAACGGACTTTGAACAGAGAGAGAGAGAGAGAGTGTAGAAATTTCTGTTTTGATAGACGATTCTCTAATTTTTCCTGAGATTTTTTGTTCTCTGGGGAGTCCAATTATTCCTTGCTTTTACAGATCCTAGATACCATGAAATGCCAATAGGTATAAACATAAAATGTCCCGACAATCTTTTCTGATGTGGTTGTTAAGTTTAAATAAAATGAATAATGAAATACCTGAACAGGAGAGAATGGGGTGGCAGGCTGCTGTGGTGCATCTGCCATTGAAATTTCCACATGAGGAGTGAGGAAATGCATGGGAGGGGTGGCATTGTTCTCTGATCGTGCACCAGTTGAGTCACCACTATCACTGCAAGTACCACCATTGCCAGTCGTCTGCTCTAATTGTAAGTTATTGCCTATCACAGCGTTATTGTTACCTAGTAAGTTAGGCCCAGGATTATCTAAGTCAATACCGTGCCTGGGGAGAAAAATCAAACAATTCAGTTATGTAAGCTTCTAAAATCGAGAATCAAGATTTAACTAGAAGTTATTTATGTAATGCTTAAGTACATATTTTGGAGACTATCACTGCATAACACTGGAGACTTGCACTGCATTAACATTTTTTGAATTAGCAAGCAAATTACACAGGTTTCTTAAAATTATTAATCTACTAATTTTCTCCCCTTCCAAAAGTTACCAAGGGCTGGTTCACACAGTGGAAGTGGAATCTTTAAAATTAGGGAACTGTTTAGCACTCAATAGTTGGAAGTTTTTTGTCTCTTATCTTGCGCAGATAATTTTTCGAGAACATGTTCAGGTAGTTGATAATGAGCCATTTGATGATAATCATAGAAATATTTCCAACCGAAGGATTGTGTACAACTAATCGCAGCTACATCGTTTCTCTAGGTTGATGACTTCACGACGTCAAAAAAAATATCAACAAATCTAACAGCCTCCTCCGTTTGATGTGACCAAATTTAATTAGATTCAATATTGAGGATGAAGAATCTAAATACAGACCTGTTGAAGAAGTGAACTCGTAGACTCTTCATGGACCCTGCTTGAAAGGAACACAAGGGACATGATTTAATCATGTCATGCTGGCCAACGTGCTCATTCTGAAAATGTGCCCTCATCGCTATCTGTCGCTGGAAACCTCTATTGCAAATTGGACAATGATATGGAAGGGTTTTGGTGTGTGTTGTAAAATGCTCTGCTAAATGATCTTTCCTGAAAAATCTCTTCTGACAGACTCTGCATTCGTAAGGTTTGACTCCGGTATGTCGCATTTTATGTCTGCGCATGTTTGCACCATTTGAAAATTTCATGTTACAGACATCACACTCAAACATTTTTCGATTATTCGTGACAGTGGTTTCACTGTCACCTCCTTGGCACTGAGCAGTATGGGCAGCAAGAGCTGTATGATTGTAAGTTTCGTAGTCGCAACGTTCGCATCGATGGATTGGCATTCCTCCTTCACTCGAATCATAGGTAACCAGGGCCAAAGCTCCACTTTCAGTTTCTTCGTTACTTGCTGCTCCTCCATCGACAACCATCCCTGAGTCAGCTTCCGATTCTGCAGTACAAACCTCAGGCTCAGCCATGATTTTCTAAAAACTACAGCATTACCTGCGAAGCAAAGAAACAATTGAAAATTTTTTACATTCAACTTTTACAAGAGCTCAAGCTTTATGATTAAGAGAGGTAATCAATAATATGTAATAGTAAGGATTAAAATGAAGAATGCATCAGTTTCTTCAATGGCATATTGGGCCATGGAATGAATCTATTGAAGGCTAAAATCCTTTCCTGAACTTAGTCACTTCCTAGGCAATTAAGTATGCTTGGAGCGAACTGGGTTTAGTCTGCAAATGCGCTAACTGAATTTCAGTGATATTCCATTTTTTCCTCAAAATATTGTATGAGGTAGAGCCACAGCAATTATCTAGACTGCTAAAGCTGAGCGTATTAGAGAGATGCCACCTGGCAATAGAAGGCACATTCAAAGGTAGCTGTGAATATATTTGAATCGGAGTTAGGATAGGAATAGAAAGTAGTGCAAAAGCTGGTTGTTATACTTTTAGGGGTGAAATGAATTTAATCATGCACCTATCTTGGCTGAATATTTCAATCTTATGCATACAATAATTAGTGACTTGCTTCATGAAGTTACAGCAGATAATTGCTGACTGTGGCATAATTTTGAATTGGGGCTCAAGAAATTTTGTCATGTGTAGAAGTTGGTGTGAACATGTCAGGGAGTGGACAGGTTGCACGAAATCAGTCCCAATTAGATGTAGCATATGAAATCATAATGAATAGGGGACTAAAATTGACGAAGAACCTAAAATTCAGGAACTGATGACAGATGCGCAGGGGAAACTTCAACTCGGGGAAGTTATCAGCTCCAGGACTTGAAGGAGGAATCTTAAATTAATAACTGGGTTGATGATTTGGAAGAAGCATATGGCAAAAAGATCGTGCACACCATAATGAAATTGTTATCCTAGGGGAAGAAAGGGAATTAAGACAGTGATATTCCCGAGGGTTTTGCATGAACTCAATTCCATTGAACACAGATGAGGCAAACAAATAAACTAACCTCCAACACTGCGATCTAAGCAGAAATAACTACACAATTTCATGGCATTTCACAAAAATTTCACAGAATTATTGCACTAAAACGTCAAACGAAAGAATCATGAGCAGAATACATTAATAGGGCCACCGAAAACCAGCTTGATAAAAATGAGGACAAATGCAATTGACACGGTGTCAAAGAATACCTACACGGCCATAAGATAGGCCAACACACTCCTTGACCCTTAGGACAAACTTAATTGGAGCAGCAACTAAATAAGTTGAACGGCGATATTTACCTTCGTCCGATGCACATTTCGGGACAAAACTAATTTGCTGACATTCGTAGATCACATTAAAAAATGTAAGAGAAAATACGGGTTCACTAACATGGTTGAAAGATAAATATTTATGATGAACTTACACTGTGCCAACCTCCTCAATCCACATTCTTTATACAATTATACGATATACGAAACTCGAAAGCGAATAGCGATCAACATCACCGCCAAGTGGCTAACGGTCCCTCTGTGTATATGGTCATTCTCTGTTCTGTGCTTCGGACACCTCTCAACCGCGAATTTTACCTGCACTTTTAAAACTAACTTTAGTGTGAAAAATATTTCCGGAGGTGCAAGAATTAACTTGGGATAAAATTATTGCATGCAGGTTCACTGGCGAGCGACGGGAGAGGGGAGGAGGGAATGGAAGATCCTGATTCTTGAGATGATTTAGCCGCCGACGACGTAGTCGCGGACCTAATGAGATTCAGAGAACTGGTATATAGGACACATACCTGACCCCTTTTTCAGATATCTCTCTTGCACGGTCTATAAAAATCAACTTATACCGCCGGGCGATCCTCCTCATTGCCCAGAGGATTTTTAAAGTGGGCAGTGGCACATCTAGGTTGAATTTTTAATAAACTAATGCCTGGTACTTATGTGTCCCCTCTCCCCTTGCTGCTCCGTCGCGCTTCAGTCAGCGAAAGCTTCGCATGGGCGGGGGGCGGGTGGGGGCTCAAATTTTAAATTTTGGGAGATTATAGTGATATCATTGCGTGTCATAAATTTAATGATGACTGTTTACGATCATTTAATGGTGATAATCAAACGTAAGAGGAGAGTTTTAGCGCAAAAAATTGATTTTGTGTGCTGCAAGAGGTGGGCGGGGAGGGGCGGAGAGTCAGTTGTCGCGTCCTCGGTATTGATAAGATTCCAGGAAAATTTTTAGAGTGTGTAGGGGAAAAATTGTGGAGGGAAATTCTATAGGAGGTAAAGTCGCAACTCACGCAATTAAACTGCGACTTGCTCGCCTGATCGGGCCGGATTTACCCATTTGCCGCCGTGGGCGGATGGATAATTCCCGCCTCTCCACCCCCTCCTCGTCCTGACGGTCGCATGCGGATCGTCCGGGAAAAGACGTTGCGGTTGGAAGATCCGGGATTTTTCTCCTGAGATACTTGAAAAGCTTATAATAAATGTGTGCCAGTGTCATAGGCGGAAAAATGCAAGCGTTACGGCAAATGTATTATATCTTGATCTATCTGCGATTTCTCCAGATAAAGCTTCAGTCGGATAAAATTCGAACCTCAAAAATTAATCGGGGCATATTTTTGTCGAAAACAACCTTTTCCGGTAAAATAAATCCCTTTTCCTCTCGGCCCCTCCCCAAAAAATCTTTGACAAGGGCACATATTTTATTCCAAAAAAAGTTACATACTTGTTCAAGGACGGCGCAAGGGTCAATAGGGATCTATGAAGCCAAAATTGGAGAATTAATACTTTTTTTTATTACTTTTCAGCTCTGGGACAGAATTTATGTTTTTACAGAAAATTAAATAAAATATTATTTTCTCGAGCGAGAAATACTTAGTTTCCGGTTGTAAGTTTAATTGAACCTTTGTCACGCCGTTTTTTAACTTTCGGAATGGATCGGTAAAAATTAATTTTTGCGCTTCAGCGAAATGCACGATACAATTATTTCAACTTTAAAATGGCTTAAATTGCAGAATCACCGAAATGAAAGGGAACTTAAATGCATACCTCGAACCTTGCGGTAGTTACAAAAATATCAATTGCAAAGATAACTTTAGAGTTAAAAAATGCGCGTGCGCACAACATTATAAGTCTTTGCTCATGATGAGATATTTTTCTTTTTATTTTTTTTCAAAAAGCAAACTGCTCGTATTGTGAAACTTTCTTTGAATTTTCTTCACGTCATTCAAAAACATTTATTTACAGATTTGAACCAAGTGTTTTAGTTAGTTCCCTTCAAAGAGAAATATTAACACCATCGGGACTTCGTACTTGTTGCAAAGGAGGCAGGTATGCATTTTTCAACTGTAGCATCGATAGTGAATGAAAAAGAAAATAAAAAATTGGTATAGAAGTAAGGGAATGCAAAATCCTCTAGAAGGGCAGGAAAAAATACTGAGGGCGGTCAGTACTGAGGCACCTGGTCACCAGAGTAATAACTGTTCTTCCTCATTAACCAGTGTAGATGTCCTTTCCCCATCGTGCTCTCGCTGCACTTTTCGTTTACTCTCTCCTCTACCTCTTCCCCTTCATTTTCTTCTTCATTCGATTTTGATTACGACGTGTAAACTTAGACAAAGGGGCAGACATACTGGCAAATCGGCGAAAATACAGTAACGCCTAACGCATAACACTTGAGGCACGAAGCACTCCGACGGATTGGACCGCGATCAGAGGGCGTAACCTCCTAATGCGTATTTCAATCAGTTAATCAATGCAGTACCTATTTGCAATTTTTTTTTTTCATTATTATTTTTGTTCTAAACTTGGTGAAATTATCAAACCTTGAAGTCTACAGAGCTGCTCCAGGGCAAATTGCAGTAAACACAAAATCTTGTGCAAGAATTGTGACAAAGATCTATAGGTGTATTTTTGAGAAATGAGACTCCAAAAGGAAATATGTGAAATGGTCTTAAGCTTGAACTTCAATCATTGAACAGGCGATGATGGATATTTATGTTTACCTATGTCTACTTCGATTCAAACATCGGTGGACTTAGGATAGAGCAAACAAGCGGAAACTCAAAACCGCACCGGTGAATGCGGAAATAGCTCATCCCATGCAAGGAAACATCACGATGAAAATCACTAATGGTTTATTTTATTGGCAAGATAGGCAACGCTGGAAAAGTTAAGATGTAAGAGGAACAGTCAAAGCTTTGGTTAGTGACGAATGCGACAGCCGACCGATGCCAGACGAATTTCATTAGAACGCCTGGCTGGATGCAACTATTCGGGCTCTGTGGATGTCCGTGTTGCATACGCACGAAAGAGAAGGCGTTTTAACTTCAGACACTAGCCGCCTCACCAGCAACGGCGCTCAGTGGGGCGAGTCAATGGGAGAAGTCTTACAAAATGAGGAGACATTAAAAGCTCATATCGATGTCGATACAGAACGTACAGATTTTAGAGGTGGTTTCTTTGATTTTTTCGTAAAATCTTCCTCATGAAGCACAATTTGCATTGAGAAGAAAGCAACTTAAATATTTGCAGTTTTAATTGAAGCTTTCATGTCCAACTTCTCTGAAAGGCTCCCTTTATTGTGCGGCAGGCTTTGATGCGAGGATCCAAAATGACAGAGTGCCTTCACTCTTTCAGTTATTCTAATAATGTTCAGCACATCACGATATCAAAACTGAAGCACGCAAGATACTCACGTCCTACGCCTATGTGCAACTATTCGTGCCTAGGAGACATCTTTGTAGTCTAAACGAAGAATTGAGAGTGCTCATAGCCATTTTGGATCATCGCATTTAAGCCAGCCTTTGGCGCCGCGCCGCAGGTGAAGCGGTGCGAGGAGTGCAGTGCGCCGCGCCGCGCGGACATTCAAAACGCCTTTACTCCCGTGCGTATGCAACACGGACATCCATGGAGTTCGAATAGTTGCATCCAGGAGTTATAACATGAACGCTAGTCGCATTGGACACTCTTTAAAGGCGTTTTGCTTGATTCTGTTGAATGCAACTTAACTTCAGCGTTGCATGATATGTTGACAAAAAAAACTATCCCCAATTGTCATCGTGAAGTTGCCAATTTTCTGAATAATACTTCGATTGCTTGAGTATACATATCTGCCGTGATAGCGAAGAGAGCCATACGTGCAAAAATGAAGTTTTGAGAAAATTGGCCTGGAAGCTTCTGATTGGAACATTTTATTAAAAGAAGCCTCCGTTCTTTGTCAAATCGCAACCAATCATTCGATAGACTCTTAGAAATCATTTGGGGGATTGAAACTAGACCGATTTTATTTTAAAGTACATGAAAAAGGTAAAATTCAGTTTCATGTTAAGTTAGTATTTGGCAAGACAGCCGTAAGTGCTATCTTCTACGTGCTTTTATGGTAGCGTGTTGGACACACAACAAACACATTTTCAGGTTAAAAATCGGCAGATGAGGGCGGCATTATCCTCTTGAAAGCACTGTTTTCATTGGCTCTCATGCACCTACGGCTGTCTTGTAAAAAACTATGTCATTTTTTGTGCACTTACGGCTTTTTCATACGTCTCGTTTTCATGAAATTAGGGTGAATTTTGCTGTTTCAGCTGTCTCAGTAATTTCATCTAAAAGAGTATAGACGAATTTTGAAGAAAACTCGATTTTGAAAATTTTACACTTACGGTTCTCTTCGCTATCACGGCAGATATAATAACGTAGCTGTCCTGAAATGGACCGCGGCCTTCATTTTCTCTGATATAAGAACGACGAATGAGGCAAAGTCGTTTCATGGTCACCTCAGAAAAAATTCGATTGTGCATCTCAACATATTTGTAACTTTTTCGCTGAAGAGTTAGAAAAAAGTTCGGTCGGAAATGTAAAAAAAGATAATCCAGAGCCTGGTGCGACAGGACTCAAAGTTTGTAGAAAATATGTCTTCTGTTACAAGTTGCTTCAGGATGCTGATTGCTGCAAATTAGGTCAGGATTTCTAAGCCAGTTGCTCAACTTTTTGGTCATAAGTCATCATTAGATGAATCTGAGCGTTGAATACCAAAAGTAACTTTTAGATTTTAGGTGAGTCAGCAAAGTGGAATCTCTTGCCTCTGCAACCTAGGTTCCTACCCTCCTACCTCCCTACCCTCCTACCTCCCTACCCTCCTACCTCCCTACCCTCCTACCTCCCTACCCTCCTACCTCCCTACCCTCCAACTTCCTACCTCCCTACCCTCCTACTTCCTACCTCCCTACCCTCATACCTTTCTACCCTTCTACCTCTCTACCAACCCTCTTACCCACCAACACTAATAATTAACGTGTCTATCCATTCTTCCTCGCATTCAAGGTACTTGATTGACGAGACGGTTTTCCTCCTGAGCTGGCTGAGAGTTTCGAGTCTCGCTGCCAACATTTTCAAAACAATTGCCTCTCGACCAAGCGCAAGACGCGGGTAATGTTTTCATTTCTTCATACGTTTTCGGAGCTCGGCAATATTTCACGGTACGATCGCCGCTCGATTTCAATCATTCAGAGAAGTTTTGATTTCTCATCAAATTCCTCCTCTGGCTGCCTCAGCTATCCCCCTCTCCTGCTTGCCTCGCCCACAACTATAGGTTCAAAATTTTAGACGACTTCCTGTCATACTTCGTTTTCTTAAATAAAAAAACATTCAAAGGCAATTCTGAAAAACGGCCGTAATTTTTCTTTTTTACAGAACCAAATTGTGTGGAAACTTCAAGGAATGATGTTGATTTGGACGTATTTCTGCCAAACGGAATTATGTGCATTAAGACATGAGCCCTGAGACCCATAAGGATATATGCATAACAAAGGCTCACGTCATAATGCACATAGTTCCGTTTGGCAGAAATACGTCAATTTGCTCTCCTTCAAAAAAATAAAATAGAAGCG